CTTATCATTCAATATGTACTTTGTCATCTTTTAACTAATTAACTCTCTGAACACAAACAAACAAAGAGACTCCATGGCTGAGAGGTCAATGAATTAGAACTGAACAGATCTTACAAATATAACTGTGCTGCTGTGGGTTCAAATCTTTTGAGCAAGCTTTTAAATGGACGGTTGTTTTGCTACTGGTGCCCTCTGTACCAGAGGGCAACCTGAAGTCAGGTTCCTCTACCAGTATTGGCAGTAAAGCTGGAAAGATGAATTGTTAATGTTGAGAGTTTTAAAACTTTGGGTTTTTTTTATCTAAAATATCAAAATTGATCCAACAGAATAATGAGTTTAGTCAAATTTGCTGCCTGAACTGGCTATTATAGTGTTAAAAAAGGGCTGCTTGGTTTTCTTATGAAGTAAATGTTCTGCAATATTAAAATTTTAATGTAATAATACTGTATGGTACATTGTAATTATATCATCATCGTCATGACTTGGCATAGTAATAGATTTATTAGACTTTTTTTCTCTTAACATTTTCATAGAATATGTTTCAGGAAATTTAAACATTGTAAACTTTCACAGAATTTTATTTTATTTATGCTTGTTTATTCATTTATAACTTGATGTTTTGTTACATTCAGGAAAACAGGTACACGAGGTAGGATAATATTATCTTGATTTTTCTCCGAAATTTATGTTTTTTCTTGTAATCGGATCTGTAAAATCAATGAAAACAAGAATAAATTATGTTGTTATCTGAAAATAAACGGAAGTAAATAGAATTTTTTTTCTTATTTTGAAAATGAAGTTTAATCACAGGAACCTGCAATGTTACTTGTACTGTTTTTTTTCATGGGTTTTCACTTATCAATACCATTAATTTTACTCTTTAATAAAATGGTAATGAGACTAATAATGATACATTCTGTTTGCTGCATGTATACAATCATTATTTCTAGGCATTTAGGGGCACTGTGTTGCTAAGAACCACTTAATAATTATTAAGTTTATGCACCAGCCAAACCTTATAATGGCCAGTCATTATAGAGGGTAAGTTGGTTAACACATTAAAGATATAGAGAAAAAATGTTCGGGCATTTAAGTTAAAGTTGTTGCTAAAATCAAACATTGCTTAATCAAGTACTATTTTTTGTCAAATTGAATATAAATTCGCTATCATATTACTTTTGTTTAAAAGGTATCATACTGTACTTTTTGAGAAAATATTGTGGTTTTTATCGGAAAAGTGGCATCTGATAGTAAATATTCTTCATGTCATATTTTATCAATAATCATATTGACATTGGAGTGTGTGCAAATACTAGAATATTTCATACTTCATAAATATTTCATTACTAAGTCAATATGTTTATATCGTCAAATTTATTACTGATCTCCATTCTTGGAAGTCTTTGTTTAACCCTTTTGTAAAGGAAAGGGAGATAATTGAAATAATTGTATAATTGAAGAGAGATAATTGAAATAATTGTATAATTGAATGCTTTAAGTGGGAGAACAACTCTGTCCCTGAACTATTGTTACTGTTATAATTGTATCTCAATGCAACGTAAAGTATTAAGATATTCAATAAATTAAAATAAAAGCACTTTTTTTTCAACAAGATATCTGTAGCTTTATAATTATGTTGTTCTTTTCCTTGTGCTATAGAGACCTGTCTCATTTCCTTGCTACATTAAACTGAACAACTATTTTTATTATGGAACAATTTGTCACTGCAGTTACTTAAGAATAAATTTAGACTCACATGACTACTGTGTTTGTTAAAAATTAGGCTGTCAGAATAAAAAGAACAGCATTTCCTTTATCCACTGGAATTCATACAACATGGAAATTCTTTGTGGAGGATAATACTGTGGATATATGCAATTTTTGTCTTTCTAGAATAGACAATTTACAGTCTTCTAAAATTGATAAAAGCCATGGGACCTCTAGTAATGAGTGATTTAGGTCCCACACTTTAAAACACTTGCCCTTCGCTGCTGTTAGGTCAGATTGGCTTCAGGGACTTTTGTTTCTTTAATGCTACCAAGCTATTTAGCTAGCATGACATGGGAGGTGGCTGGTTCTATACTCTGGTGCCTGTTTGTACCTGAGGTAATAATTACAGAGGGCACCTGAGGTCAACCATACACAAAGGGTCCCAGAGGGGCACCTGAGGTCATCCTCTATCAGTTAAGCTGGAAAAGTGATAATATAACCACTTAAACCCAACAAAAAAAACACACCACCACCACCTCCAACAAAAAAAAACAAAAACAAAAACAAAAAAGAAAAATAACAAAAACTGTGATAGTGTTTAAAAGGAAAGAATGATATTTTTAAACTATTAGTTTATTTCAAACAAATTGTTAAAGAATTTATTTTCTTCTTTTCTTTCCTCAAAATTTCATTATTTTCAGTGTCAAAATTATGGTCTTAATATTATAATTGTACTAAGAAATAAGGTTGAAATATTATATTTTGTTGTAATATTATAATATAACATTACACTATGCAGTTAACTGGTGAAGGAAATAAATAAATAAAAATTAAGAAACCTTGGGTGTACTCTAAAGGATCAAATAAGGTGTCACATACTTGTGTAAACATAAGATATGTAATCAAATAGGAGATAATTGCTAATCTCCAAGATAATTGACATGTAAAATGATAACTTTATTATCAGTAGATAATAGGTCAAGCCCCAGTTTTGATGTAGGACAAACTAGTGACATCAATATATCACCTGATGATAGGATGAGGCCATTTTGTAATGATAAAATCTATTCTTAACCATGACCTTTAACCCGGCATGGTACTCGGCAAAATGATTAGCCACCAGGCTTTAGACTGTTGGTAATTGTTTGTATTGATAATTATATATTGATATACATTAAAAGGCTAATTGTTTGTACTGGAAATATTTTATTTTTTCCAGATTTAGGTCTGGATCAATTATTTTAAATCAATTTTGCTCACTATGTTTTTACAAAATAATTATTTAATTGACTTGTGAATAATTACCCCTCCCCCCCTCCCCTCCCCCTCCAAGAGAAACAAACAAAACAAGAGGAAATTGTTTATAAACACTTCACCTCAAACCAGGCTGAAAAGAAAACAGAAGGGGATTTTAATTCTGAGTACAAATGTATATTTCATTAATTATCTCTTTTACATACAATCATGTGCATATACAATCTTTTCATTTTAAAAGCCCCATTTCATTTTTATTGTCTGTGCATCAATTGCTGTTTTTTTTAATGCATAAATGTCATAGTTAAGTTTCAAGTTTTTAAAACATAATTAATTATATAAAACATTTAAAACTTTGCACAAAATGTAGTATGTTTTTGATTTGCAAGAACTGTTATAATCCAAGTGTGTACAGTTGTATGTGTACAGCTATACCTTATTAGATTAATATCTGAGTGTGTGAATACAGTTGTATAGAAAATACAGTGACCTTATCAATTTAATGTTATAAAGATGACACATTTCAATTAAAGGTTAATTAGTGACATGTAATCCATTAGTTTATCAGATATTGATCATATACTTGAACATATATATAGTCTATGTAATATATTGCTTAATGTTAATGAGGGCACATTTGCTGGTTAAGGTACAAAATGCAGAAGTCATGCCCTTAAAGGGTTAATTTTTAAACATTAAGTGGTGATAATTTATTTGCATGCAATGTCCATGGAGTATTAGACAAAGATATGAATTTTGAGCTGAAAGTAGGTCACAGGTAGCCCTGATAGGGCTGTTGATGCCGAGGAAAGGGGCTGCCTTTAAAGCCGTCACTTTGTTCTAGGGGTTAACACACCCTAGCACTGTTCCTTCATTGTAGGGCCACTCCTTTAGGCTTCTGACAGTCCGCCGACATTAGCAGCTGGTCTGCAGTTACAAGGTCTGGTCTTTGTTTATTTTTCGCCATCCCAAGTTTATGAAAACGTCTGCCGTTTCCCTGTGCCTCTTGGCGATGTACATGCACCAAGGGGAAGAGTGAGACAAAATTTAGATAAATCTTTTTAACTACTTGTATATATATAGTGTATTAGTCAAAATATAGGACAAATTTTAACTACATATAAATATAACAACTGCATGTAACTTTTTCTAGTGTTGTGTCTGAATAAAAAAACAAAAAAACAACAACAATTAACTTTTAAACAATACATAGTTGTTTTGTAACTTTTAAGATATTATAATTATTACTAAACGTCAATATCCTGCTTGGAAATGAGTCTGTTGCCTTATGAGAATAAATAATACTGTTTATATAACAAAAAGTGAACAAAGACTCATCACAGTTTATGACAGTTGCATTATTATAGTCAGCTCATTTGTCCTGTATGTGACAGGTGACAGCATTATATAATAACCTTCCTAATGCTCTAGACAAAATGATGATTACATTTATAGACCATTGTTATGTGCTTAATATGATATATGTACATGTTGTGATTTTATAACTGATTGTTTTGCAAAATTTGGCCCTTTTTTTCGGAACCTGAACCCCAAGGTGATTGATTGCTAATTTTTCACAGGCCAGTTAAGATAGTTTAGAATCTACTTTCCATGGACTATTGCAGGCATGCATTTAATTCGCAGACTGTCAGAACCAAAGTATTTTCTCTCATTTTTCCCCCTCTATCATGTAATTTTTGCCTCTCCTTGGACCCAGGTGTCTCAACCTCTTAAATTGTAAAAAAAGGCATAATGTTACAGTATGAAAATCAATATCTTTTGCACATGTATACAAAATGTATTAATTTTCCAGATAGACCACAGATATTGTTTTGAATATATCAGAGAATCCCTTTGACATAAGTCTATATGATCATTTATATTGCTTTGGCTGAAATTTCCTTAAAAATTCTTTTATTGTAATATTTCTAAATCTTCTATTTTCAGGTCAGAATGAAGATTATATGATCATTTATATTGCTTCGGCTGAAATTTCCTTAAAAAGTTTTTTATTGTAATATTTCTTCTATTTTCAGGTCAGAAAGAAATACTCAAGACTATATCTGGGCGTTTCAAATGCGGGGAGTTGACAGCAATTATGGGGCCGTCAGGGGCCGGCAAGAGTTCCCTTATGAATATTCTGGCTGGTTACAGGTGAATAAAAAACATGATTTTCTATGTTTATCAGTGTTTTTTCTCACTTAAATGGGAAGAGGCTTTAGCCTATTGATTTTGGGAAAAATTATCACTTAAATTGCTAATTTTTGAAGTAAAAAAGTTGATGTAAGTTCAGATTTTTGGGAAAACTGCATGATTTTAAAGATAGTTTAAATTGGGTAGAGGCCATTTATAGGTGAAAATCACTGTATACTAATAGTTGAATCTATAATAGACTTGAGAACAAAAAGTGCAAAAATTAAGAAAATATATATACATGAAAAATATCACATAAGGCATCTAGATTTGATGCCTTTGAAATGGACCAAAAAGCCATGGTTTGAAAGGTCACTTTGTTAGTCATTTGTTTTATTTTGATAGAGTAAAGTTTAAGATTCAAAGATTCTGTACTATAATTATGCTTCTACATTTATGTTTATGATGCTTACCTTGTAAAAATATATACAAAGATAATTTATTTTTTATTATAGAATATCTGGAGTAGAGGGTGACATTTTGGTGAGGGGTAAACCGAGAAATTTGAGAACATTTAGAAAATACTCATGTTATATTATGCAAGATGACCATTTACTGCCACATTTGTCCGTAGAGGAAGCTATGATGTGCTCAGCCAATCTGAAACTTGAAGAGAGCATGCCACAAGCAGATAAAGAAAAAGAGGTTAGTCTTGGTATATTTTGTCAATTTCTAATGTAGGCAGATCCATATCAAACACTGTATAACAGTAATGATCAATCCTTTGGCTTTAAGTACCAGTTCCATGAATTAGATGTCATGGTTTAGCCATATTAAATAAATTTATATATCACTATATGATAAATAGAATTTATTAGTTTGTCATAATGTCTTAAAAGTACAGTGAGTATGAATTAATTTGTAATATGCAAGAAGAAGATTCAAACCCTGGCTGTTGTTACAGATTCAAATATTTGGCTATCATATAGCTTAAACTTTGCAGAGCTGCTTTACAATCTTAAAAAGTTACATCTCCTGCCAAACTTTTTATTCTGTACCAGCAGACGGCATTTGCTTCCTGTATTTTCAAAGTGTTGCTTAGTCTTTGAGATACATAGCTCAAATGTTATCTACTGTGAATAACATGATTATTGTGCACATACCATTCTCATGAAAACACAAAATTTACCTTTACAGTGCTGAAGAAGATAAATATGAGATCTGTGCCACTGTTCTAAATCCAGGCCAATCAATTTATCTGTGCACTTTTTACCAGACTCACAACTGATGGCTGTTCAGATTAATCATTAACCTGCCAGCAACAACATATTCTACCCATGCGAACCAGTGCAGACCAATTTCAGTCAGCACATCTAGTTCCTTCTAATCTCTTGACCTGCACTGTTTGCTATTCAGACAGTATAATATTGTGAAATTTTCCCCAAGTGATGAATGGTTTAGTTCAGATTGAATTATGGACAAGTTCATTGAAGAAATTTAGTGGGGTAAGGGTTAATTATGAATTATTCCAACAAAAAAAAAATCCTTAAACTTACAATGGATCCCCCAAACTTATAATGGATAATGCCAGTTTCAAAGCTGGACATGTTTAATTTTTTTATAAAATGCAGCAGGTTAAGAATGCAAAGAAATTTGATTTTTTTTTTTCATAATAGAGTCATTAGTGTTAATACATGTTTATAAAAAATATGCCTATCACAAATACTGTATATTTCAGGTACATGACATATTGGAGACTCTAGGACTGTCGGAACATAAGAAGACAAGGGCGAGTAATCTGTCTGGAGGTCAAAGAAAACGATTGTCCATTGCCCTCGAGATGGTCAATAACCCACCTATAATGTTCTTTGATGAACCAACAAGGTATGTAATGTTGATTAAATAATCCTCCTATTTAATTCCTCATGAAATTACATACTAAGTATAGGTTGAAGTTTATTTGTATGTATTTACAAAATTAAATTGGTCAGGTGTGGCACAGCCGCGTGACCAATTTAATTTTGTAAGTACGTACTAATAAATTTTAACCAGCTTAGTGTTTTAAATTATTTTAATAAACAGGACTGTTTATACCAAAGTAAATGTGTTACCATTAATTTGAAATACTGCAGACCTATTGGACAAAAAATAATTTCAAACAATAAGGTACATGTAGTAAAATGAAATATTAAAAACTATAGGACAGTAGTTATATTTAGCTTATTTAATGAGAAAAGAAGAGTAAAACCTACATAATATAGTATATATTAGAGTTAAAGAGGCTGAATACAGATAAAAAAAAAAATCAATGGCCGCATGGCCAAGTGGTTAACGTGTCAGACTAATACAGTGTAACTTCCGAAAACCGAACACCCATGGGACTTGTCAAAAAGTTCGGATTTCAGAGGTTTCCGGAATTCAGAGGTTTATGATAATGTGGACAAGACTAAGCCACTTAATATCACTAAATGTCAAGGAAGATGTGGCCATTACTGTAATATCATATATAATAGCCTTTTAATCTAGATAAAGATGTGAATGAAAAGAATACATTTTTATCTTACCTGCAAATGCTTTTGAATTTCTATCAGTTGGTAGAATTATTGTTACGGTAAAACTTACATATCGTCCGATGCTAGTTAATTAATTATCACATCAAATGCAATAAAATCCCTTAAGACGTTTGATGCATACATTGTCCAATTAATTGTCATTTAATCCGCTAACACTTCAAATTAACTGACCGCCGTAAATTACTTTGATTAACCCCATCACTTCAAACATACCATCTCACAGTTTGTGATTTTAACGCGTGTCAAATTACACGATCACCGCTAATTAGTAAACAATCGATAGGGAGATTAAATCTTCCTGCAGGGTTTACAATGTATTTCACACCTTTGGATACTTCCGGTTTTTGGAGGTAAAATTGCATTGATTTGACTCTAATTTTACGAAAATATCGTCCGGAATTCACAATTTAGAAGTTCCGGAATTCAGAAGTATTATATTAATAGAAAATAGAAGGAAAAAAATCGGGACCGAAAAAATTGTTCGGTTTTTAGAAGTTTCCGGATTTCAGAAGTTCCGGAATTCGGAAGTTACACTGTACTCAGACTAATGTGCTGGCCGCATGTGTTCAAACTCCATCTGAAGCAGGCTGTTGCTTCTGTGAGCACGAAACTTAACACTCATTACTTACTACTGGGTGGTTCCAGGAACGGATTCGAGAGTGTTTCAATAAACTTTATAGCTTCCAACACAATCAAACTAATATAAATTAGTATAAACTAAAAAAATAATAAGAAACCCAAAAGGAAAACTTGCGGCTCTGATCCAGACTTTAACTTAATAAATATAAGCCCAAGATTATTGCACCATTTAGCAAAATAACATGTACTGTTATCGTGCATCAGCCTTTTAAATATCACTTGCCACTTATTATTTGCTTAGTGCATACTGACGTAATATAAATCCTTCAACATGCAACAAGCACTTAATTGATTCAGATAGACATCTTAAAACATCAATGTGCATATATAATTTGAGCAGTATATACATTTGTGTAGAGGCTTATTTTAAAGCAAAATTTTCTCATTTAGATGAAAAGAAAAAAAACAAACAAACAAACACGCCCCAGAAAATTTTAAGTTTTCACATAAATTGATTTTGTAACAGTTTAGTGTAGACACTATCAAATAATTTAGGCATTAATGAATATGCAGATTTTAATGTAGATTTTGTCATCTTAGTGCAGTAACAATTTAACTCCTATTGAATTTAATAGGAGTTAACGTGTTACTGCACATCTATGAAAATGATGTATATACAACTATAAAACATTAAAATTTGGAGGTACAGTGAGTTATATTATTCTTAAGCAACCTGAGAAGACTCCATATAGTCTGTACAGCTGCTTAATTTTAGTATTTAAATACTGACATCCCTTATTTTGAAAATGGAGTGTTCCTTCTCATTCAAAACCAGACTAATCCATTACAGTGAAAAGGTTATTTTCTTTTTAAAAGCAACCCTCATTTGTCATAATACTGTGAAATTGAAAAGTTTATAAATACAGATGTCCTTACTTTAAATGATGGTTAATTGACCAAAACGTGAGGAATATAAATATAGCAACCACCATCTGCCAGTGATTAATTGTACCACCCATTAAGGCCTATTTCTATTCACGCATCCAGCATGTTTTACCTCTGTAATAGTTATTTATAGAAACTTATTAATACTGCTTATAAAGCATACAACAGGCCTATTAAAACTGGTCTGTTAAATCTGGCAACAGGAATATAATGCATAATTAGATTTGAAAATCTTATTACAGAAAAAATATCACATAATCATTTATGAATTGTGGGATCTGCAGTGAAAAAACCCAGATTATTTCGAATTTATTGTGACAATAGCAAGTTTAAGTAGTAATTATTGCTATACACTCTCCAGTACTGGTATTTATATTTAGAAATGATGGCGTTGACTCGATTTAGATTTAAACATATAAAATCCATGTTTGATGGGCATGTAGCGCAACATTTACTGCTCGAGACAAGTTTTATACTTTAGACACCTGCTGCATTGTATTTATAGAAGGGAATTTTTTTGGCGATTGTAACCCTTTCTTTAAGGCACATTTATTTCTACTTCATCTACATGCCTGAACACATTTGAGACCCTATACTAGAAATAAATGATATGTAATAGGCCAATATTTTTAATTAATAAAGTGCATAGTTTTAGTTTAACTTTAGCAAAGGTTTTTGTCCTTTCTTAGTTTGGGCTTCGCACTTAAGCCTCATTCAATCAGTCAAAAGGGAATACTTTTGTCATCAGTCCTTAGATATGTTAGGTGGAGGTTGGTCATGACCTGTAGATGACCTCTCCTCAATGCTGAGGTCAGCCTACAATATTTCACAAACATATGTTATTGATTTTTATTTGTCTTTTTTAAATGTCACATAAAAATTGGGTTTTGATATTGTATAAATATCTAGATGGTCCATTTAAGTGAATGTTTTTTAATATAATCGTCTTGAATGAGATTCAAAGACAACAAGCATTCTAATACTTGGGGACCACATGCAGCTTTTCATGGAATGGCCCAAACATGTCACATTGAAGGCTCCTTGATCATCACAATACGAACACATCTTTTGGTCTCTCTAAATATAAAATTTTACCATTACATATTTAGATGATAATTTTCTGCTGAAGAGGGTTCTACAAGATGTTGAGGGCACAACTGTCAATTAACAAGTTCTAAGCAGACTGACTGCAACATTTTCATTTGTGTGGTTTTGGGCATCCTTTAGGCATTTCGTTATTCTATTTTTGATTATGTAATAGTTAAACCACTCTGAACAAGTTCCTGTTATGCTCATTATTTATTTATATTGAAATTTATCCTCATAGGATTTCTATATTTTCAGTGGATTAGACAGTTCAGCGTGTTTTCAGTGTATATCACTACTGAAGAATTTAGCAGCTGGAGGCAGGTCTATCATCTGTACCATACATCAACCTAGTGCAAAACTTTTTATGATGTTTGACCATGTAAGTTGTCCAACTTTGATATTTTAGAAATTCTAACATAGAAAGAGCATTTTGATATCAAGTAGACTTGAAACATACTATGATGCCTTTTATATTCAGAAAACATGGTACTAATATTGAGTAGTTACTCTAAAATATTGTATTTTGATGTATGGAACACTCCAAACTTAAAATAATATTATAATACCTTTTAGACTCCTAAGAAACCTTAAATTTATCTGAATTTTAACAAACAATAAAACAGATGAAAGACTGTTACCTTTTCATTGTATTATAGAATGATGTGGTACATGAAAAAAAAGTTTCAGCTCTATTTCGTAAAGTATTTTTCTCAGTACACTTAATTAAAATAGGTTGAGTGTGTAACAATTGTTTGGTGTTGAATTGAAAGGTATAATTCATGTCTAATAACACATTTATATGAAACCTTAAAAATTAGTCTGCTAGAATGGAAAGTGTTTAAGCCTTTGCAAGCAATATAGAGGCTGGCCGGACTGCACATCAGTGTAGTCTGCCCATGTATGATGTTCTCAAATGTTGGCTGGCTTACTTCAAATTTTCATCTTGAGGTACCTAAAATTAATAATGAAAGCTGGACGCGTCTGAAGTTCAGTATGTAAATGTTTAATGAATAAGCTTCAGGAGTTTAACATTGATGTTTCTGATATTGTGGTTGCTACATTATACAAGATGTTACCATCTTTGTTTTATTTTATGAGATAATGGCCATGCAAGGACATCATATGTTTATAATGTTTTGTTTTCCATCAAGCTAGGGGACACATGTATTATTAATGATGAAAGAAAAAAGTCTGATAAATGCACATGCATATGTTACATGATTTGTTTTACTTGCGATCCTTTATTGATGATTTGACAGTTTAATGTATAGATTTTATAATTCATATTACCCTTCTTATGTGTAAGTAAACAAATCAGTTATGTATTTAACGAAATTCAAGAGCTGTACACCCATTTACAATTTTAACCCTTATCATGCTATACTTGTATACCTAAAATGGACTTTGTCCATCTTTCAATGTGGACAAAACCATTAATCATTTTAGGAAACATTTCAAAGTATGTATTGACTGAATAGCAAGTTGTGCAGACCATTGTTAGAAGGCACTGAATGATGTGTCCCCTAATTTTGGTCTGCACTGGTCTCATGGGTAAAATCTATTGCTGTTAGCAGGCTAAGAGTTTACATGATATTGAATTGCTTACTGACTAGCAGTAGACAGTTTGAAAATCAAAATCAGAGCAAATGCTTATTGTCAGCAAGGGGAAGTAATAATAAACCTTTTCTTGGCCTAGGTTATACTTTTTATAAGCATTTTATCTTTGTTACATTTGATTACTGTTATTTTCAGTTATACATGTTAGCAGCTGGGGATTGTGTGTATAAAGGTGGAGTGAAACAGTTACTGCCTTATTTAAAGTCAATGGGTCTAGAATGTCCACCATATAATAACCCTGCTGATTATGGTATGTTAAAAGGCATTAATTTAGCTTGTATTGGTCTTCTTGGGCAAAGGCATTGTGTTACAATTTTTGCACTTAATTAGTCAATTTAGAAAAAAAGTGAAAACTTTTGAAACTGACTGGATTGCATGCTATGCTTAGAAAATAATATAGTTTATTCAAATTTATTTGTCAAATTTATTTGAGTTTAATTATGTTGGAAGCTATAAGCTTATTGGAACACTCTCGAATCTGTTCCTGTAACCAACCAGTACTAAGCAATGAAAGTTAAGTTTCTTACTCAAGGACACAATGGCTTGCCCCTGACAGGGTTTGAACCCACCCAGTCAACTCTCCTTGGATAACTAGTCAGACACTTAAACAAAAAATTAATATGAATTTTTCCCTGAAGAAAATGCCAGTCTGTGTTTTATAATGTTTTACTTGTGGGGTAAGGTTATGTTAAATGATTATTATCACCTGAAGAAAGCAGCATAGATTGGTAGATAATTTGTCAGAAAATTAGCAAAGCATAAAGTAGTATTTTGTATTCAATACAAAATAGTAATAGTTCTCTGTAGCTTAATGGCTAAAATGCAAAAGTTGGTTCAGGAATACATTCCGAAAACTGTAACAGAATATTAAAAATAAAAAAAGCTTTTTAGAAGAAAAAAACAATTTTGAAGCTTGTTAGGCATATACATAGCAGAATACAAAATTTTGTCCAGAATTTGAATTCAAAGAAGTAAAGGAGAAGAAATTCGAAATCTTTTACATTTTACTACTCCACCTATATAATCTTATGGAATTATGTATATTTACATTTATATAAAACCATTTCTAGATTAAAAAAAAAACAAAAAATAATACAACTTGTCACTATATTCAAAGTTAATTGTTTTCCGGTTTGAAGGATGATGACTCAGAATTACTAATATTTGTTTGAGAATATTGCCTGTTAGCAGTTTACTTTTATCATTTTCAAAGACTTTTCTCTCTATGAAAATTGTATATTCAATTAATTGTTTGTTAATATTTATATTTTTGAGTTATCTTAAATTATAGGTTATAATCTTAAAGTTATGAAAGCTGAAGCTGTAAAATGTTTTAATTTATTTTCACAGTAATGGAACTAGCTGCTGGTGACAGTGGAGAAGAAAATGTTGACATGTTGAAAAACTCTGTCAGGTCTGGTAACCTGGACAAGTTTATAGTCAATGAAATTTCAAATAACTCTAAGAGGTAAAATATATATTTTAGTAACATTATCTCTTATGTGGTTGTAGGAAAGGACTTATTAAAAGATGCCTACAGGGCCATCTTGTGAAGCTTCGTTTTCAAGTGGAATTAATTGGAAAGTCATACATCATGACTAAAATGTTGCTAAATCTTCTTCTGATAGTGTTGTCTTTGTGGCACTGTATAAGTGGTTAAGTTGGCGAAAAGAGCTAAGATTTCCTCTAGCCTGAAAATCAACCAACCTGTCATCGAATTTTACCCTTGCATGATTTGCTTATATTACCTGATGCGAAATGTCTGGAATTTTATATTTGCTATCTTTTCGACTGGCGGAAAAATATCTTCTTACACAGTTATTTAGATTCTATCTCTCAATACAAGGATATCTTAATATTATTTTCCTAAACTTAGACTGTTCATTTGACAACTGTTTACTTACATATGACCTCTGATAATACACTTGATGATTATATCTACAGATGCAATTTGTTGACCTTCAACATCCACAAAACTGTTAAAATTCAAGTCTAGAAAGTACATGAAACACACATATAATGATAGGACCCGACCCATGAAAAAAATATTTTTGTGATACTTGAATTGCACATTTTGTAAAATGTAACTGGAGTCTATGCATTTCCTAGCTCCAGCAGGTGTGGTGGTTTCGACCCCTGGTGTTGCTTCAAAATTTGAGACACCTGAGGTTAGCCAAAATGATCTTTCCTTCAGTGCTACATGGCCTAACTAAACTGTGTTGGCACGTTGCCAAACAAACAGTATAAATACAGAATCAAATTTTATAGTCCTTGAGTTTCTTCAGTCACAATGTCTTACTTTTATTTTCTAACTTCATTCAGATCATCAAATACAAGTATATCCACAGACAGTGATTTGAGTAATTGTATTCAAGTAGATGCGAATGAAAGTACGCAACTTCTTACTGTCACCAACGGCACTGCCTCATATTTACCAGCTGATGACTTTATAAGAGATGAACAAGACAGAAATTCTGTGAGTATAGGAACTAGTTTCTTCCTTTAACATGTAGTAAGGTTTAAGGGAACTACTTTTTCTTAAGGAACTATATTTTGAGTCAGGTGATGGAACTACTTTTAAGTGTCTGAACTATACAGTGTAGATATGCCAATAAAATCAAGTTTCGAGTTCTTAAAAAATAAAGTGGTATATTTATTTGTATTGATTTTTCTTTAAAACAGTCAAAGACAGCTTAAAATGAACAAATTAAGATAAAATTTAGTTTATAAGGATAATGTCTCAAGTTTGTGAACATATGACATCAATTAAGACATTACATAAGACATAATACATGACATCACATTTAATCAAGGCTTCATTTATTTAAAAGATTGTCATTAATACCTTTAAACTAAGAAGGTAGTTTTATTAATGTAAATATGTTGAGTTTTGAAATATCCTACGTGTTTGAAACAGGAGAGTGCGTCGCAAAGTTCAAGTGTTGCAACGACACCTGGGAGCCAATCTCAAGCATCGGTTTGTATTGTGTTATAGCATGAAGTATTGCTTTCTTGTTGTTTTAACAGGGCTGCCATACATAATGTCATGTCCATATGGAACATATTGTATTGTCCATGTCCATTAGGAAAATATTGTATTATCCAAAAGAAACATATTGTTTTGTTGATAAGAATCATATTGTAATGTCCATAAGGTACATATTGTAATGTCCATAAGAAACATATTGTATTGCCCATACATATTGTATTGTCTATAAGGATGTCTCGCAGAAACATACTATATTGCCCATAGGAAACATATGGTCCATTAGAAACATATTGAATTGTCCATAAGGAATATATTGTATTGTGTGTATATATGGTATTGTCAGTAAGGAAATTGTATTGTTCATAAAGAACATATTGTAATGTCTCTAAGAAGCATATTGTATTGTCCCCAGAAACATTTTGTGCTAATCATAAGCAGTTGTCCATAAGAAAGCTATTTTATTGTCCATAAGAAATGTCTTATCTATTAACCATAAGGGACATTTTGTGTTGTCTTTAAGGAACATAATGTATTGTCCATAAGGAATTTGATAGTTCCTAGAAGAAACACTATTGTTTCCAAAAGCCTGTTTTAAGAAACATATTGTTTGTAATGTTCCTGTATGTATGCCAGTGAATCATCTTGTAATGTACTCCTAATGAAACAAATTTAAAAGTCATATTAAGTAAAGATTAATTTCACAAGAATATTGATTTATTTACACATTTGAAACTTAATCTTATCTTAAGCAGTAGATTGTTAGTAATCTTATTCTGAATGAAAAGAAAACTGGTGAATTTATGAATTACAATTAAACCTGTTAAAGTATTTTTTGATTTTTGGCCTAACTTCACTTAAACCAGCAAATTTAACTAAATTTGTTATACCCTCGGATTAAATGGCAGCCTTAACAAAGTTATCTAGTACAAATCTGCATGCAGTTTTAGTCACTATGCTTGTTACTTGTATGTTTTTTGTCACTGTTAGGTACTACTTTGAGATCATGAATGAGTTGTTGTTTATAAATTGTCAATTATCTTTTTCCTGTATCTGGCTGTTATATGTTACTGCATCCTTGTTTTACTTAACTGTTCACTTTACTGAACTTTGATATTTAATGCATGAGCTATGTTACAAAGTTATGATTACTGTTACAGTAATTTGCAGTTCATAAGATTATGATGTCACTAAGATAATTGAATGTATTTTTGCTTTGAAGTGTGAAAGTTGTATTAGTGTTATATGTGGGGTACAAAAAGAAAGATTTGTAAGAAATTATGAATGTTATAAAGAAAAGTCAGAGAGCCTTGAACATAAAATATGAGGAAGATGAATTTAAGAGGGATGTTGTATAATGGAATGTCAGAGTCTTGAAGGTCATTTGAAGTATAAAGGAATATCAGAGCTCCTTAAAGACAAATTAAGTACAAGAGAGCCTTGTAAATAAAATATAATATAATGGAATGTCAGGGAGTTTTGAAAATAAAATATTAAGAGAATGTTAGGAATTTGTGTAAATAAAATATAATATAATGGAATGTTGGGGAGTTTTGAAAATAAGATATTAAGAGAATGTTAGGAATTCTTGTAAATAAAATATAATATAATGGAATGTTGGGGAGTTTTGAAAATAAAATATTAAGAGAATGTTAGGAATTCTTGTAAATAAAATATAATATAATTGAATGTTGGGGAGTTTTTAAAATAAAATATTAAGAGAATGTTAGGAATTCTTGTAATTAAAATATAATAAAATGGAATGTTGGGGAGTTTTGAAAATAAAATATTAAGAGAATGTTAGGAATTCATGTAAATAAAATATAATATAATGCAATGTTGGGGAGTTTTGAAAAAGAGAATGTTAGGAATTCTTGTAAATAAAATATATAATATAATGGAATGTCAGGGAATTTTGAAAATAAAATATTAAGAGAATGTTAGGAATTTTTGTAAATAAAATATAATATAATGGAATGTTGGGGAGTTATGAAAATAAAATATTAAGAGAATGTTAGGAATTTTTGTAAATGAAATATAATATAATGGAATGTCAGGGAGTTTTGAAAATAAAATATTAAGAGAATGTTAGGAATTCTTGTAAATAAAATATAATATAATGCAATGTTGGGGAGTTTTGAAAATAAAATATTAAGAGAATGTTAGGAATTCTTGTAAATAAAATATAATATAATGGAATGTTGGGGAGTTATGAAAATAAAATATTAAGAGAATGTTAGGAATTCTTGTAAATAAAATATAATATAATGGAATGTTGGGGAGTTTTGAAAATAACATATTAAGAGAATGTTAGGAATTCTTGTAAATAAAAATTTAATATAATGGAATGTCAGGGAGTTTTGAAAATAAAATATTAAGAGAATGTTAGGAATTTTTGTAAATGATATATAATATAATGGAATGTTGGGGAGTTTTGAAAATAAAATATTAAGAAAATGTTAGGAATTCTTGTAAAAAAAATGTAGTATAATGGAATGTCAGGGAGCACAAAAGGTGTTAAGGGACTGTCAGAAGACATGGTGAGTTCTATTTTTTTGTAAAACAAGGATTAAAGAAGAATTTAGATTAACATGCTTTTAGAAGGTTTGACTGGCACTTGTAAAGGAACTTAATGCTGATAGTTTGGCCACTTTTTAGCTTTAACGATGTAGATTTATAATTTCTAAAGTAATTAATAATGCTGATGTTTATTGAAACAGTGCTCGACTGACACGGAGTGTGATTCCTCATTGACAGAGGTTTGTATTTTACATGTATATAGTGCATGTGCTCATTGGGTTCCTTATCACCTGCTTTTTTTTTTCTTTAGTTTTAAAAACAATTAGGTTTGCAGTTTTTCGATTTGATGAATTACAGTGGAGAACTTGTTTTATTTATGTGATGTGAAGCTGGGCTTTTATTTTTTTCTTTAATTTATATCCTGTAATGTTTTAATGCCAAAGAAATTGGTGTTAAATACATGAAGTGATTTTTTTTACATCTAAATACAATGAAAATGTAATATTATTTTATAAACTTGATAATTATTAGTTTTGACTTATATGCTTATTATACCCCCGAAACGAAGTTTGGGGGTGTAAATAGAAGTCACTTGGTGGTTGGTGGGTCGGTCGGTCCAGCTGTCGGTTGCATTTTCCTTGTCCGGAGCATAACTTGAAGACTAATGATTAGAATCCAATACAACTTCATACAATGATCAAGCACATTGAGAGGAAGTGCAGTGCACAAGAACCATAACTCTATCTTGACTAATTACAGAGTTATTGCCCTTTGTTACTTTTCCTTGTCCGGAGCATAACTTGAAAACTACTGGTTGGAATTCAAAACAACTTCATACAATGGTCAAGCACAATAAGGGGAAGTGCAGTGCACAAGAACCATAACTCTATCTAAAGTAATTACAGAGTTATTGCCCTTTGTTACTTTTCCATTGCTTTCTTTTGTCCAGACCATAACTTGAAGACTAATGGTTGGAATTCAATATAACTTCATACAATGATCAAGCACATTGAGAGGAAGTGCAGTGCACAAGAACCATAACTCCATCTTGACTAATTACAGAGTTATTGCCCTTTGTTACTTTTCCTTGTCTGGAGCATAACTTGAAAACTACTGGTTGGAATTCAAAACAACTTCATACAATGGTCAAGCACAATAAGAGGAAGTGCAGTGCACAAGAACCATAACTCTATCTAAAGTAATTACAGAGTTATTGCCCTTTGTTACTTTTCCATTGCTTTTTTTCGTCCGGAGCAGAACTTGAAGACTAATAATTGGAATTCAATACAACTTCATACAATGATCAAGCACATTTAGAGGAAGTGCAGTGCACAGAAACCATAACTCTTTCTTGACTCATTTAAGAGTTTTTGCCCTTTGTTACTTTTTATTGTCCAGTGCATAACTTGAAAATTAATAGTTGGAATTCACTGAAACTTCATACAATGGTCAAGGGCAGTGAGATGAAGTGCAGTGCACAAGAACCATAACTCTATTTGGACAAATTACAGTTATTGCCCTTTGTTACTTTTTTTGTCCAGTGCATAACTTGAAAACTAGTTGTTAGATTTCAGTACAACTTTATACAATGGCAAAAGGCAATGAGAGGAAGTGCAGTGTACAATAACCATAACTCCATCTTCAGTATTTGTAGAGTTATTACCCTTTGTTCTTTTTCCTTGTTCGGTGCATAACTTAAAAACTAATGTTTAATGCAACTTCATACAATGGTCAAGTGCAATGAGGGGAAGTGCAGTGCTCAAGAAGCGTAACTCTTTCTGGACTTATTACAGAGTAATTCAATAAAATTTCATGTATAGTCAACCACATTAAAAGGAAATGCAACATACAAGAACCACAACAATCTTTAATTGCCCACAACCATAACTCTCTTTCAAGTCTTTTGCAAGCTATTTTGATACTAGTAACTAGTAACTTCCTCATTTCCAAAGCAGTCTTGCGGGGGTATTAATCACATTTAGTGATAGTTCTAGTTTTGAGAGTTACACCAATGTTCTTTCTTCAATTTGGTATTGATGACTTTTTTATTTTGATAGCCAAAATAGTGTGTGACAAATGCTTTTGCCTGACTTAAGTCATTTTCTGTTTTAATTAATGATAAACAATTTATAAACTTTTTTTAATTGCTTTAAAAATAATTATATTTCTTCTGCTTTTTGTGTAGTATGAAAAGTTTGAAAACTATTTTTAATATGCTGGTTTGAAAAACAAGTCATTGTAACGGATGGAGAAATAGGCAGTGTCCAGTTTTGTCGGGAGTGTATCAATTTAAATTAAACATTTAAACTGTTACACTTATTATGTTATAGAAATTTGTCAGACTGCATACAAGAACAACATTTTTTGTTTTGTTTATTGTATTTTCACAAAAATTTACATGACATTCAGTGTATAAATTTTACTAACACTAAAACTTGAATTTTGTAATATTTCATCAATAAGGTTAGTTAAGGATTTTTAGCCCCAGATTAAAAGTAGGAGCTAAGGATTTTTAGCCCCAGATTAAAAGTAGGAGCTATTTTGATCACTGCGTTGTTGTTGTTGTCACCATCGACGTCATTGAACAAATACCTTTAATTTAGCCCATTATTCAATTTTTTTTTAAAAATTACCTACATGAAACTTGGAATACCTGCAGATTATGAGAAGGTGCAGTTGTTAGACAAGGGGCATAATTCTGAAAGCTATATTTTTGGAGTTATGACCTTTTTATGCCCCCACAGAGTGGGAGCATATAGCGTTGCACTTGTCCGTCCGTCCGTCACGCCGTACGTCCGTCCGTCCGTCTGTCCGTACGTCCCGAAATCTTGTGAACGCAACTCCTCTTAAACGGGATGGCAGATTTTGCTTAAACTTTCAGGGATGAACAACCTTAATATGTAGATGGTAGTAAAGGAAGGAATTTTTGCTGCGACCAAATTTAACAGAATTATGGCCATTTGTTGATTTTTTCACTATATACTATGTAGAAATTTTGTGAACGCAACTCTTCTTAAACCAGATGGCAGATTTTGCTTAAACTTCCAGGGATGAACAACCTTAATGTGTAGATGGTACTAAAGGAAGGAATTTTTGCTGCGACCAAATTTAACAGAATTATGGCCCTTTGTTGATTTTTTCACTATATACCATATAGAAATTTTGTGAACGCAACTCCTTTTAAACCGGATGGTAGATTTTGCTTAAACTTCCAGGGATGAACAACCTTAATGTGTAGATGGTAGTAAAGGAAGGAATTTTCGCTGCGACCAAATTTAACAGAATTATGGCCCTTTGTTGATTTTTTCACTATATACCATATATATGTTGTCAGTGGGGGCATCTGTGTCCTTTGGACACAGTTCTAGTTTAGTTTAGAATTGAGTTATGTCCCTTTTTAACTTAGAATTGAGTTATGACCCTTTTTAACTTAAAATTGAGTTATGACCCTTTTTAACTTAGAATTGAGTTATGACCCTTTTTAACTTAGAATTGAGTTATGACCCTTTTTTCATTAGAATTGAGTTATGACCCTTTTTTACTTAGAATTGAGTTATGACCCTTTTTAACTAAGAATTGAATTATGACACTTTTTAACTAAGAATTGAGTTATGACCCTTTTTCACTTGGAATTTTATCAAAATTGGTTATTGATATCCCATGCCTATGACAGACAAGCATTAATAGCACATGCAGTGCTCCTGGTCTAGATTTTCTTGAAGGTGGGAATTTTATTTTTCCATTGCTTTGTCAAAGCATCATCAGAGAGTAGCTTTTGATCACTGATGTCACTAATGTATTTGTTTAATACATATTTTTAATTGGAATTTCAATGAAAGATTTTCAGAATTTTTCTCTCTCTATATTTCAGGAGATGGGAGGTGACCAAGAATGCCACACTTTCAACACATCATGTTTTACACAGTTCAAGATTCTCTTTATACGAACATTTATGTCTATAATGAGAGATGAGGTAATTTTTTTATTGATATTGTTAAGGTTATAAAGTCATGAAAAGAAGAGCTAGCCTGATTTTCTGTGTAAGGAAAGTGAACAGTGGGAAAAGTAAATATTTTTCAAGATGGGCTCACTATACATTTGAGTAGCTTTATGTAAATTATAAATAAGTTCTTTAAAATCATTCAGTATAATTGAATAAACTAAGTCAACATATCCCAACATTTACTTACTATTTATTTACATGATTAAATAGTGTAAATCTGGTTAGACGGAAAAACCTTAATATCCATTCTGTGTATTCGTACTATTGTGTTTGAGGTCCTTATTCAAAGTTTAACATAAAGGGTCAAAGGAAAGGGTTCAAGTTTGACAGAAAGGGCCAAGAAGTTGTGTTTCAGTTAAACTTATAATAAGAAGTGAATTTATAATAATTTTTACTATCTCTTAGACTAATCACGACAAAAATGTTAACATTTTGTGAAGTAATCTGATAAAGTCTGGATAATGGAAAACTACATAAGTAACTAAAATAATAATGCAAAAAAATTAGTATGTATCTTTTTTTGTTGTATATAAAACATGTATTCCTTTTATTTCAGACATTGACAAGACTGAGGTTAATATCTCACCTGTGTATGGGCATTTTGATTGGTCTGCTATATTTAGGTATTGGTAATGAAGCCACCAAAGTTCTGAACAATGCTGGATGTCTGTTCGTCTGTATGCTGTTCTTAATGTTCTCAGCTTTGATGCCCACAGTACTGACCTGTAAGTTATAATGTTTTTATGAGACAAAGAGCTGTTGCCAATGGATTGAATTTTCTGTTATAGACTGAACTTAGTGGATAACTGTGAAGTACAAGATATAAAAAACTTTACATTAGTATACATAAGAACAAAGAATAGTAGCTATAAGCTATAGTTATATAATTTTAATCAATTAACAAAACAAATTAAAAACAGCTCTAAAGAATGAAATTTTGATCATTTTATGTAGTTTTAATGTGGGGTTTTGTCAACTGTATAAATTGCATGTGTGGTGTTTTGTCCACACTATAAGATTTTTGATGTATGAGGTTTTGAAGTGTAGGGTTTTGTCCTACATTCATAATTATTTCTTAACTTCTTTTCACATATTGTACTTAATAGTATCAACATAATTATTCATGGTATTACAGACCTGCCATTTTAGACCAATTCTCTTTAAAGATGCATTTATGTTAACATTTTTTACAGGCATTGAATTCATGAAAACACTGTTATCTTTATCAGTCACACAGTGACAGGAGCATTGCATAAAACAAAGATGTTAACCTATAGTTGAAAATTAAGTTAATATATAATATACTCCTATTTGTTTTTTAACCAAAACGTTTATTTTATATAACAGTTCCCATGGAATTGACAGTGTGTGTCAGAGAACATTTGAATTACTGGTACAGTCTGAAAGCTTATTACCTGGCTAAAACCATGGCTGATATGCCTTTTCAGGTAAAATTTGTTTATAAAAAGATCAGTAAAAAGTATGAAGATTTGGTGTTTGGCATGTAATGCGAAACCCAACAACACAACTTTCTTCAGATTCACTGAAATTGTGGTATAGGTGTTTGCCTATCATTCTTGGAATTATTAGTTTGAGCCAAGATATGACCAAAAAATTGCTGTTAAAACCAATCAACCAAAACAAGCAAGCAAACAAACAAACAAATAGGTTTGAGCCATATGCAGGCACAGCATTGTTACCTCCTTTTACATTTGTATATGTTGGTGAACACCAAAAGCTCATATTTCACTTGTGGCTGCACCACTCGTGAAATATACCTTCTGGTGCTCGCTCTGTGAAATATATTCCGATCTTACACTGAATAAACAAATATCCTCTATATAATTATGCTTCTAAAACAATTTTCAAACATCAATGTATATTGTAAAATATGTACTTAAAATATTTGTACATATTATATGTAATCATTAAAATATATACATGCATTTCTTACTTAGACTTTATGGAAAATAAATTTCTAATTACCTCCCTTTATTAACATGAAATGTAAATTCGGTAATATCTTTACAAATATTGCTTTTTGGAACTTACAATATCGATAAATCTTCATTTGAGCATTATATTTATGATATAAAACTATAAAAAAGTTTAGTTACAGGATCTCTAATGTAAATTTAAGTGGCTAAATTTTTCTTTTTACTTAACTGTTTAATATATTGAAAGCATTTAGCTGCATGATTATCAGCAGTATTTTGTGTTGGAAATCTTAAACTTTTTTATCAATATATATAACCTATTTATTTTCTTTATTTCAGATTATATTTCCTCTAATATACGGCAGTATAGTTTATTGGATGACATCACAGCCCAGTGATTTTATGAGATTTGTTATGTTTCTGACATTAGCGACACAAACATCGTTAGTGGCACAATCTCTTGGTTTACTTATAGGAGCTGCAACATCTTTACAGGTAAACTTAATAGCATAGTGGTCAATGACTTCGAACCGCTTGCACCTCACCCCTGTGTGTTCGAATCTGGCCATGGACTTTGGATTTTTAGCTCACCTGTCACTTAGTGACAGGGTGAGCTTTTGTGATCGCTTTTCGTCCGGCGTCCGTCCGTCGTCCGTCCGTCGTCCGTAAACTTTTACTTTAAATGACATCTCCTCATAAACCACTGAGCCAATTGCATCCAAACTTCACAGGAATGTTCCTTTGGTGGTCACCTTTAAAAATTGTTCAAAGAATTAAATTCCATGCAGAACTCTGGTTGCCATGGCAACCAAAAGAAAAAGCTTTAAATATCATCTTCTAAAAAACCAAAAGAGCTAGAGCTAAGATATTTGGCATGAAACATCTTCTAGTGAGTGTCTACCAAGTTTGTTCAAATAAAAGCCCTTGGGTCAAAATTGGCCCCGCCCCAGGGGGTCATTGATTTTCCCTATATGAATATAGTAAAAACTTTAAAAATCTTCTTTTAAAGAACCCAAAGAGCTAGAGCTAAGATATTTAGCATGAAACATCTTCTAATGGGTGTCTACCAAGTTTGTTCAAATAAAAGCCCTTGGGTTAAAATTGGCCCAGCCCCAGGGGGTCATTGATTTTTCCTATATGCATATAGTAAAAACTTAAAAATCTTCTTTTAAAGAACCCAAAGAGCTAGAGCTAAGATATTTAGCATGAAACATGTTCTAATGGATGTCTACCAAGTTTGTTCAAATAAGAGCCCTTGGGTCAAAATTGGCCCGGCCCCAGGGGGTCATTAATTTTCCCTATATGAATATAGTAAAAACTTAAAAATCTTCTTTTAAAGAATCCAAAGAGCTAGAGCTAAGATATTTAGCATGAAACATGGTCTAATGGATGTCTACCAAGTTTGTTCAAATAAGTGCCCTGGGGTCAAAATTGGCCCCGCCCCGGGGGACATTGATTTTCCTTATATGTGTATAGCAAAACTTAAAAATCTTCTTTGAAATAACCCGAATAGCTAGAGTTTAGATATTAAGCATGAAACATCTTCTAGTAAGTGTCTACAAAGATTGTTAAAAAAAAAGCCCTTGGGTCAAAACTGGCCCTGCCCCAGGAGTGTCATTGTTTTTAAATAATAGTATATTGTGTAAAGAAAAAACTTAAATTTTTTTTTTTTAAAAAACCCAACAAGCTAGACCTTAGATGTTTAGCATGAAACATCTTCTAATGGGTGTCTACCAAGTTTATTCAAATAAAAGCCCTGGGGTTTAAACTTGCCCCGCTGTGGGGGGCCTATATACAGGTGAGCGACTTCAGGGCCATCATGGCCCTCTTGTTTATTTATTTGATGAAGCTATCCAGCTAGCTTATGGAATGTTGATGATTCTACTTATTTTTTTATGTAAGTGTGAAATATTGGCAGAAATTTCAAATGTGAAATATTGGCAAAAATTTAGGTTTTTCTGTTTATTTCATGTTGCTTGTTGCAGGGAAAAACTTATTTATCTCCAATTTCCAATGATAAAAAAGTAGTGTTGTCGTTTTCAGATTGTTAAGCATGAGCTTTTGTTTATCTATTTATTGAGGTATGTTCTATTAAATCATCAAAGATATAGTCTGTTAATATTTATTCATTATCACAGTAGGAAATTACTACAAAATGGCAAGAATTACAAAAAATTATTTGCACACACTTAAGTTAATTTGATTTTGTTGTTCACAATAAAATAATAAAAAATAAAGAACATGTTATCCTCGGTCAACTTGTGTTTTTTGTACAGTCTATCAGCATAGGGAAATAAAGTTATAATATTATTTCTTTAGAAGTAAAGGGAAGTAACTTATTGAAATTATTTTTATTTATTGTTTAGAAAAAAGAAAGAAATAACTCAACCATAAACACAGAACAATGAGTGTAAAGTTTCTTGCTCAAGGAAACAATAATTTGCCTCTGACGACGTTTAAACCCAGGTTAGGGTAACTAGTTGGGTACCATAACAAGCAATATAACAACTTGACTATCTCAACACTAAATCATTTTTTTTTAATATAAAGAAATAGCATATGGCAGTTCATTACAGTTTGAATGAAGAGTTTATTTTTATTTAATTTGAATTATGTTTAATGATTTCAGGTTGCAGTATTTTTGGGACCAGTTACGGGTATACCTCTACTACTGTTTAGTGGATTTTTCATCAACTTTGACACAATACCTATTTATCTGCAGTGGATCACTTATATGTCATACATAGGGTAAGTCGAGTATTGGTTAATGTCTGAATGTCTGTGAAATGAAATCATATCCTATTATTATAATAGCATTTATTGTTCATTCACAGACATTGTTGAGTCCAATAAACTGATTGTGATACATAAAATACTCTTTGGATAAGCATGAAGTGAAAATACAATCATGTACATTCAAACATATATATTAATAGATATCACATAGCATGAATACAGTAGTTTACAGCCAGAAAGCTATGATAGCTTATAAATGCCATCCCCCTATGACCTGTGACCTTTGCTAAATTTTTGGCAAAATAATTTGGGCATTTTGTTTCTTGTTGTTGTTTTTTCTTCACATGATTGTGTAAAAGCAGCAATTTTCTAAAATGTTTAACATCAAGGCATCATCACTATTTATGTTTTTAGATTAACACTTGTACACATTCCTTAATTAATTTGTTTGATATCCAAGTGTATAAAGCTACATATCTGCTGCCTGTTGTTAAAAAGAAAAATTGTTTGAATTTTGAAAACAAATACTTACAAAAAAACATTATGAAGGAAATATATATGTTTTCATGAAAGTGACTGCACACACTCATTGATTAATGGTTAAAACTCTGGTGAATGTGTAGCTTTACATTTGTACTTGAACATTTTATTCTGTTTACATACTATATTCATGTATGTTAAATATCAGAGACATATTATGTTATAACTTCCTCGAGAATCTACAGTAGAATAAAATTTTGGAAACAATATATTTTAAGAGTTATAAATTTTATAAGTATATTTCATAAGATAAAGCTTTATGCCATTTAAATTTTATCAGATGTAATGGTTAAATCATGAAACATTGATGTTTTATTACAGGTATGCATTTGAGGGTGTCTTACAAGCTGTGTACGGTTTCGACAGAGAGGCACTGGAGTGTGAGAAAGCTGCACAGAGTCCGGAATGTCGGTATATAGTGTCGGAAAATGTCCTCACAGATCTTGACGTAAGCAACGCCAAATTTTACATAGACTTTATTGCGCTGTGCGTGTTTTTCATTGTACTGCGGGTCAGCTGTTACTTTGTACTACGTTGGAGAGTTAAAGCTCAGAGATGAGAAAAAAAACAAAAAACTTATGTTCTTTTGTTTTCTGGATATTGTTGAAGAAAAACAAAACTTTGAACAAGGAATAAGAAATGGGATGTTGTGGAAGATACATGTAGGAAGTGTTGTATACAAGCCCATTTATCAAAGAGAGACAATTGTAAATAGACATATATTAAATGTTGTTGATAAAGGTACATTTATATAAGAAAACAAAACACAACAACTACAAATGTCATATTTTAATATATCAAACCTGTTGACTTTCCAGTAATAATTGTGATATTTACCGTTAGCTGTTCTGTCTATGCAGTGAAGAAGTATTTATGTGGTTTTAGGGGAAAAAAATAACAGGAGACCAATTATATGCTTTAGCTATGATATCATTGGTTACATTCAAACTTAGGTTTTTGAAATCCTCCAATCACATTTGAGGTTGACTTATGACTGGATACATTGAGGATTAAAGGCGAGAATATATTTTGTATGGACAAACCAAATTCATGTAACCCATGCCAGAATGCAAACACTTTGCCTGAAGTTATTTACAATCTCTTTATAAATTAAAGAACAGTCATTCTTTTTACATCAACTTTTTTTGGCTTACTTTAACAAATGATATCACTAAAACCAAACTGCACAGGCAGTGAATTGGGTAGAAGAAAAAACAATTGTCTCCACATTTTATGAATTGTATGTGATAGTTATGGTAAATTTGATGTTGCTGTTTTATTTGAAGTAGGTATTAAGAGGACAGAGGTTTGGAAGTAAACTTGCAAAATAAATTAAAAAATATATACATGTTAGAATAAATCTGTTGGTTATCTATTGAAAGTTTACATTAATGTTTTCCAATGGTTATTTGTTAATGTTTTTATTTTTCTTGAGAAAAAGTGCCCTTCTTGTAGGTTGAAGTTGGTTGCTGAAAAATACACCTTATTTCTAAGTAGATGTTGTTGAAAAAGTATAGCCCTTAGACACACACATTTCCCATAGGGCTTATAATTATCCATTGTTATTTAAAATTCAAACTGATAACATTCAGTGCAGAAATTTTAAATTGAAAGTTTATTTAATTGTAATCATATTTTGCTAAACTTCAACTTCTAATCAATGTTTTGTTTTCAATATGTTGTTTAAACATATAGATATTAATTTTTATCAATAATAAATGTATTTTTATATAGATTGAAATTTTAATTTACAAAAAAAGAAAGGATAACAAACTTGATACAGAGTAGAACAAAGATTTCATATATTGTAAATGATGGTTTTGTGGTTGGTCTTTAGTTTGAAAAGTCCGATGTTTTTCCATTAATTGTTAAAGATGTATATATTTATCACTTTTACCTTTTGATAGATAAAATATACCTGATAATACATGACATGTTTGTTGGCTATATATGCTATATATTATATATGTATGTACATTAAAGCTCTGCTAATCTCATCATTAGAATATTTCAAAATCTTGTAAAATTAAGCAATTATACTTACAAATAACTTGAATATATAGCAAAGTTTAAAGACCATTCCACCATCAAGGTCATAATTAGAATATTTCAAATCATGCAGGATTTAGCAATTATACTTAACAAAGGTCTGTAATATACAGCAAAGTTTAAACACCATTCCACAATCAAGGTACACTGTTGTGGTCTAATTAGCAGAGCTTTATTCTAGTTTGCTGTGGTGTATGTTTTGGGATTCTCTTAAGATTTTATGTTTGGAATTGATTAGTTGTAACTATGTGTTCAATTTCATTTCTTGGTAATATTGTCACATTAGTGCAATAATAGGTTAACTAAATTAAAATTTAGAAGGACTTAACCTGTTACCGCCATAAGATGACAAGTCATGTAATTTTGTAGCAGTTTAAGTGGGTGATACAGTTTTAAAAAGTAAAGCGTGCCCATCTCTTTTATGTTTTTTTGTGAAGAAATTTTAAATTTAGTTGAGTCATCCTGCTAATAGTGATGCTATAGATATCTGATCTGGATCCAAGGTTAATAAGAACTTTTCTCCGCTCAATCTCAGTTCTTAGTATTTGATTGGTCAGAAACTGACAGTTCTCAAGTATCTGATTGGTCAGAATCTTGCGCAGGATATTCAATAACCAATGGAAATTTACAACATAGGACCAAACCAATGACCCCCTGGATTAAAAATCCAGTGGTTTCCTTATTGAGCTAAGAGGGCGGATATTTAAATGTTAAGATTTTAAGATTTTGTGATAACTTTCTATTATTTATGTTATTAATTTTTAGGGCATAATGGAAATTATTAACACAAAAAACAAGGAGTAATATGTTTTGGACAATCTTTTATTGTTTTGTAAATAATATTTTGTTTCTTCATTTGGGTAGATTTATTATATAGGTTTACTATTACGTTATGTTGTACATAATATGTTATGTTTAATGTTTAAGTTGTTAGAAAAAAGTCACATGATTCAGGTCAATGTCTTATATCTATATATTCTAGGTTTCCCGGCAACATTGTTGTAAATTATTTCATAAAGTTACTTCCCTTTGATACTGTTGTCAGGGACATTGAATATGACTGTGGGCATGTGAAATTGTTTTAAAAATGTTAAGTTGTGAAAAGAGTGTATCCTATCTAGGTTTAAAATGACCTTTGAATGGTGAAAAGATTCACAAATAATATGAACATTTATGAAAGTGTGTATTTTCTATATTTAGAACTTTGTTATGTGTTTTTTAGTTGTGTTTTTTCTTTCTTTTCCATAAAATGGCATAAGACAGGATAAAGCTGTAATCCACCATTAAAATTTTTACATTTACAAGGGACATGCTTTCCCTTGATAGTAATTAATAACCTGTACCACCAGTATTGAGTGCTAAGGGAGATAATAACATCTGATCATGTTACCAGTATAGAACCAGGCCAGTCTGCTTTTCTAATTATTAAATTGCTGACTAAACAATTTTAGTAATTTGATACTGATTTTTTCCCAATTTTAATGCACAGTTTAAAATTCAAAGCAAATTGAGAACGAGAAAATGCATGCCTACTTCTGTAAAAAGAGAATTCTACAATACCTCAGGTTGTAAATGGAATATACATCATGTAAAAGTGTATTTTTGTTATTTTAGTATGTATAAAAGTTTGAAAAATATAGAATTATTTATTTAAAAGCACATTATGCCTCAGAAACAAATATTTTTTTCCCTTCTTTAGAAAAGGTAAAATTTAGTTTTATAACGTTCAAATAGCAGCTTTAGAGCATGTTAAATGCTATTTATCTGTAGAAATTAGCCCTTAATGTGGACTTGTTTGTCATATAAATAGCAAAATGTAAATAAAGTAGTATTTTGACTTCCATACAAAATTCTAAATCACTCTAACTGTACTAATTGCAAAACAGCAAAAGATAGTTCTGGTAATTGGCAAGTGAGTATCTTTTTTTTTAGAAACTGTAATAGGACACAAAAAAAGCTTTTAAGAAATAATAATATAAAAAAAACAACATTTCTGTGGCATAATGGGCCTTTAAATACGGAGAATATAAGAGATCTGAGATTGTTCAATATCTATAACGTAAATACATTTTTATATAATTTTGTAAATGGTTTCTGAGAGAAAAAAACGCAAAAAAAACCCAGACTGATAATATATTAAATAAGTTTACATTTTGCATATATACTTCAGTTTATTAGAACTCTTATGAACAAATATATTTTTCTTCTACAAATGTTCATTTATGTCCAGTGGTTATGTTATGTCTTTGTTAAGTGTTTGTTAAAATATATATTATGAAACCAGTTGAAGAAACAAGTGTGCTGTGTGACTTTTATTTGTGCTGAATTTTTAATTAATATATGTTTTGATGCATGTTAATTGATATGTGTTAACTGATATGTGAAAACCATTAAGTATGTAGATCTACATCTTTTAATGTGATATACATCTATACTCTCTCTATTTTATCCAAGTGAGGATGTATTTTAGGGCCTAAGTTGTCAAGTGGTTCAAAGCACAGATTTCTTATTCTCTTGTACAACATTGCTGTGGCTTCAAATTCAAGCAGATATTGTTTTTTTCCATGTTACATGAAAAAAAGCTATCCAAGTAACTTAATGAAGGTCATTTGGGTCATCATCCATACTGGAACATCTTCATATGACCTTGACATAGTTGGTTTGACAAAGATACTTTCTTTTGGAAAAATTGAAGTGGTTCAAACAAACGTTGTTGTTCTTGTTAAAGATCTTTATCAAAGCAATAATTTAATCTATTATAGTGATTGACATGTTTTTCAGTAACTGTGATCTGAAGATTCTATATTATTATAACAGGTGTGTAAATATTATATAGTGTTTATTGTTTGCATGTCTGTATAGTTTGATACCACTTACTATGAGCTTAATTGTGATTTTAAAATTTAGCTTGGTGAATATTCCACCCAGTCTTCTTATGATACTAAACAAGTACTGGTTATACTTGAGAACCAAATGAAGTGACCATAATAGTAAGGCTTTAAGAATGATGCCACATTAGTTAGGATTCATACTTAATCACTGCAGTATACATGTGTAACCAGTATAGCCCCATATGCTTTTCAATCAAGCTCAAATCTATAAATTACAGCGGACTTCCTTAACTTAAAGTGTCTCAATGATAGAATAAATTAACATTTTCTTGGACTAATATTAGTGCTGGTATATCAGGAGGGAACTATATGATTATCTGATATATGTTTTTGTTCCTTTAATTTAGAGGCAATTACCTCCCCTTTTAGGCTTCTGACACTGCCACTATAAATGTTTTACGTGGAAGGTTACAATTTTTCAATGACTGTATAAATAATGATGTTATACCAGTGTCTAAGAATTCTTGTCAGATTTTCAGAAGTTTTATATCTAATGGAATGCTTGTTCTTCAGTGCTGAAGAATAGTAAGTAATTTTTGGCCCTGTGTTGAAAGCCCTGTCATACATAGGAATTAAGGTTTATATACATGTATAAGTTAACAGGGAATATTTGGCATTTTTGTTCCTTTTCTATCAAAGACAATTTATAAGTCATCATGATTATTTTTGTAGCAAATGACTCATTTCTATAAATACTTACTCTACTTTATTGTCTTTATTTAATCAAATTTAACTCAGAATTGTGCAATGTTTAAAGTTTGATTTTTACTAGATACGCATTACAATAAAAGTGCTTGCCCTTTTTATATACATTTTTCTTTTTTTTTTGCCGAAATATTCTGTATTGTTACTCTGATTCAAATGTTTGTATAAGTTTTATAACACTTTACTCGTTGGAACCGAAATAGACTTGCTTTTGCTACCAGTATAGAACCAAGCCAGCCTGCACATCCGTTCAGTCTGACCAGGCTGTATACTGTTGGTAGCTCAAATTTTTGTATTTCAATATTGAAATCCCTTAAACTTTGAATGGACTGTTCCAAATTCAAAGCTGGACTATTTAAGCGTTAATAATAGTTATACACTTAACGAAACTTATAAGTACTCCGACCAATTTTTTATTATATTGTGTTAGAATTACTATAACTAGTCTAAGTCGATACTGTATAAACTTTAATTATAGTATCATCATTTTATAAAAGTAAATGCATTTAACAATAACTCAAACTTATCAGAAAGTCAGTAACTGAGATCACCATTGTAAAAAAAAATCAAATACCTTCAAGTCTAGTCAATTCATACCTCTGCATGCGATGCGTCGCCCTGTAATAGCCCAATGGCAATTCCTCTTTGTTGCAGCGACATTCGGGCCATTTTGTGTTTTTATGTTAAGCACATCAATAAACTAACAATTTGCATCAAAATACACAATGTGGGCATCTTGCACGAAATGCACGTGGCCATTTTCGGGTTTTTGCATGTGACCGCCATATTGCGTTTCGGATGATTGATTTTATTTTAAAAACATTCATGCAGTCGGAAAGTAGAGTCAGTACACATTTTCAACATTGATTTGGTATATATTTTGAAAACCAAAGTTTTCCTGCAAGTTTGAAATCGGAGTACTTATAAGTTTCGTTAAGTGTATTTATTATTATACAGTTATAAGCCTTTCTGTATTGAATTTCTGTGTTAACTTATTATTAAAGACTGGAATCAGAAAATAATTATTAAAAGATTGGAATCCGCAAACTATTTATAAAACTGCCCTATCTTATATTTAAGTTTTTCTTTTACATGTATAAGGTTAAAATATTTGATTGAAATATTTTCGTGACAAGTTTTAAGCAATGAAGACTTTCTGTGTTTATTTTCTTTTGTTTACTAATGACAAATGTTATCACTATATATTTAAAAATTATTTTGTTTTCTAAGACTGTAAAGAAAGCTAAAAGTGTGTTATACAGACTTTTAGTTTTCACTTGATTATGACAATAAGTTGATAACTGATTACATAACTTTACTGTAAATAATTTCAACTATCAATCATCACCTTAGTGAAGTAACGGATTAATTCCTTCTAAGTTTAATATTAGTTAACCAGTTATTGCACTAAGGTGACGGTATGGAAATTTCTCATGGCACATTTATTATAATAGCACTTACATTTCTCATTTTAATGTTGTTTTTTTCCTCATTAATTGTAACCAAGATTTCTGAATCAACAGACTTTTAATGATTTTTGTAAATATTTGGACCAATTAGATAATTCCTTATTTATTTCTTTGTTGACAAAAGTATTTAGAATTTTCTGTGCTTTTGTTTTTGTTTAATGTGACACATTTTCTTTAAAAAAAAAGTATGAATAGTAAGTAAATAAATGGAAATATTTTTTAATGAAATATACCTTACTAAAGTGAAAAATATATGATTTGTTTTGTGTATGTATAGGAAAGTACATGTACTTATAAAAAAGATTATGGTATTCTATATTTTCACCAAAAATGTTCCAAAAAATAATTTCTTTGTATTTTGTTGCTAATTATCATATGTCAGTGAATTATATACACACTATCTTACCTACAATCCTATAATTCATTATCATCATCATTATGAACTATATGATGCTATGGAAACATTTGTTGTATTTCCGGTATGTATTTGTACTCCACTGCTTTTAATTTGAAACAAGGCTGGTGGTTCAACTTGGGTGTCACACTTATGATAGTAAACACATAAGTATAGATTTCTGTCCAAATGTATTTTTAAACTAACAACATATAGAAAGAAAACCCGATTGTAAATTTCTTAATTTTTCAATTTATTTACTTGCCATATGAAACAAAACAAGACCAGTAGTGCATTGTTAGAAATATGCAGATAAGTAAATCCGCATAAACTAAACAATGCGTTTTCTTTCATACCTTTGCTTTGAATATAGTCGACTTTGTCAAATAAATAAAAGTAATATTAAATGTTTTGTAAATGTGTTAATTATGATCCTAACAAGTTTCTTCATATTAGATACTGTAGATTATTTAACTGGCTGATGGCAAGTTCTCCTGTGGTTGTATTTTGACATGGATATTTCTTTTCCCTTTTCAGAAACTTTTTTCTACAATCCATTACTTATGTCTATGTTACTTATGTCTACAGTCCGTAACATTGTTTTGACGACTCACAAAAAATAAATTCTAAAGAACAAAATTTGTTTGCTTTTTCATTTATCAAGATATAACCGATTCCGTTATTTACGTTTTATGTGCTGCCTGTGATTAAAAACTCATTAGTACAGAAGGGTACTTGAAAAGCAAGTTTAAAGATAATTACTGACAGAGAAGTTTAAAATTTATTCCCTGAAATACGGACACGCCCCAGTCGGACTACATATTTCACAATTTGCTAGTACTACGATAGTGCGACAGGTTTAATGAAATTAATGATGAGTTGATAAACATGTGCACTAACCTACTTACTGGTTGAAATTATGTTTGGAATCTTTACAATACTCTAATAAAACGAGATAATAATGACAAGTTGGTAGGATTAAAAAATATATATATATACCCAAGAATTTGAAAAAAATGAACAATTTATTAGGACAAAATATGCATGACCACAACCACTAAATCTTTATAAATTAAATGAATAGACATCGAGTTGTGTTTTAGTTAATTTTTTAGATCATTTTGTCCCGGGCGTATTGTATTTACAGAGCCCACTCATTTTCTTAAAGTTTTATAGCATTGTAGACCTTATTACCGAGCCACTGTCGTAACAATTACCGTCGTTGAGTTGAATGATCTCATTAAGGTCGTCAGTACACACTTGTGTTGACTAGAAGTAAATATTTATCAAATTAATATAGAAAGATGACATAGTAGTCATTAATAAATCAAATATAAATTTTTATCTTAATGGGCTTCTTCTATTGATATCTCAGAATTTATTGGGTTTTTTTTAAACGGAACGCAACTTGTAACATGATGGGGAATGATCCTGACTGCATTACGACTATTGATTTCAATATAGGCATGTATATTTTTGTATGTTTGATGAAGTTTTCAATATTATTGAAGCCCAATTTTATTGACCTGACAATCATTGTAACGTTATTCGATCCAACTTTGGTAGTATCCGTCTATGTTACAAAATTGATATTGAAATTACCCAGTTAAGCAATTTTGGCCGAGTTGCACAGGTACAAACCCCGGTGATAGTATCGTTGATTCGAGCTTATCTGGTAATAATCGTCTTCATTCACTTCCTTTTGCACATTTTATAGTACAATTGAAATCTTTAAATTGCAATTCATTCAAACATTATCACCAAGCCAAGCATTTTGTCATTATACGCCGTACAGTACATTTAAGTAATCTTCTTAAAGAAAATAACCTAGAGTCGCACCATGAAGTTCAACACATTCCTGCAGTGTTTAAAAATTATTCGAGCCACATCAGTCTCACGTTTTACAGGCCTTTAACCCGATGTATCTTATTCATGTCATTCTTAGAATATAAACATACATTCTCATTTGATGAATATTTAATTGCATCTCACGGAGACTATCGAAAACCTGATGATAGCTCATATTCCGAGTTCAGTATGTATTAACTTAAGAAAGATTTGCACTAATTTATTACTTCTTCACTTCATGTTTTGTATACTCCTATGGCACACCACTTTTCACCCTTGTTCAATTTTATGAGAAGGTAAAAATTACTTGACAACTTTTCCATATCTAAAATAAGATCTGGTATGTCAGTACGAGGGCAGATGATTGTTTTAATTTACGACAACAAAAAACAGTGATAATAAAAACAAAACACCAAATGATCAATTTATAGTACAAAAATGACAATACATGTGAAAATAAGGATGATTCTATTGGGGGAAAAAAACAAAATCTGGAACTAATTAAATACTGCACAACAATTGTTTTCCTGACATTGTTATATAGAATCCGCATATGCACACGTCACCGTTTAGAAGCGTCCGTACGCTTTGTTTGTTTCTTCTTTTTGCTAGTGTCTGTGTTTTCAGTGGTCGTATCAGACAGTATTTCCGGTTGAATGGAAGCTGTAACTTTCTTCATGAATCTTAACAAACTTTCAGAACCCATTGCGAGATTAGTGAAAGCTGCCTCTGTTTCTCTGATTGTCTCATCAAGTCGGTTCCTGGCTATAACTTTATCACATATAGTCTCATTCACTTTCACAAGACGATCTGTCAGTCTTCTTAAATCACTTTGTAACTTGTCCTTTTCAGTTATCTCCTTTTGAATATGCTTATGTAGTGTGTCACGTTTAAATCTGAAAGTAACGAAAATGATATAGTATAGGCTATTGAATTTTTTTATGTTTATCGTTATGTTCTTAATATGCTAAATTATATGATATTAAGCGCACTTTTCTACCTACTTAATCTTGCAGAATTCTGTTAACTTAAAGTGTAATTGTTCTCCTGAAGTTTCGAATGATTTGTAATTTTTTTAAAAAGAACTGTAGTCAGCATAATGTTCGTGGTTCATTGACTGATAAACATTTTAAGTACGCATTAATTATATTTAGCGAAAGTTATCGGTTCTTAATAAAAACTTATCTAATCCCTTAGCGACCTCTTCACAAGAAGCCGCATTAATCAGATGAATACCCCCCCCCCCCCCGAAAAAAAAAAAAAAACAAAATAGATACAACAACGAAAAACAGAAAAAAAACTCCTCCTCCCAACACCCCCCCCCCCAAAAAAAAAAAAAATGTAAAGAAAAAATTGAGCTGCACACAGGACTGAAACTTTTTACTCTTGATATCAGTGGACCAACCTCTTTATAAATGCAATCTTAATATTGAAATAGAAAAAAATAGAATAAAAAAACCATTACAGTTCAGATAAAACATTTAAGTCCTTTTAAGATTGAAGATTTTATATATAAAAATTAGTTAAAGCAAACATTTACCTCATTTCGTCAATACATGTTAGCAGTTCCAAACTGTACTGTTGTAAGGTAGCATCTTGTGCTCTTGGTTTATTTTCCGGTTCCCCTGACATTTTATAACCGTTAATTAATAATCCCTTTTGTAGTGACACAACCACGAAATCAAATACTTGTTATTAAGATTTATTTTATTTCATTTGACGATTAAAATATCTTGAAGTCCTCAAAGATGCAAATGTTTTCTTAAAAAAAAACAACTATAAATCACTATTTAGTAGTCCCCTTTTCTTTGACAACACGCAGCATATTAAACTTTCACCATTGTCAGATAAAACAATAAGAAATCGGTGAAATACAATATCTTATTATTTACGGTATTGACACGTTTAATCAAGATGAAATTCGAGCTGAAAATTTGCATGTTTCATTAAATCCTTTGTTACTATTCTATTTACTACATTCGCACTAAAACGAATAGTAAAACTTTGATAACATGATCTCTATATATTAAAAATATTTCAATATTAATCAGAATTTCAGTAGTGATTCACGAGCCTGTAAGGTAAACTAACCCTCTCGTTCATTTTTTTCTTCAATTGTAAGATAAACGAAGTTTAAAGGAGTAAGGGATTATTATACTCAAGTACTGTGTTTTGTTTGATTAGCACACGGGGAACTAAATATATCAAAAAGATTATGCAAATTAACATAAATCTCAATTTCATTTGTCTGTTTATGCACTTCAACTTTCTATAAATAATTCATTGAACTTCACGCGAAAAAAGTAGACCTTAGGCGCTGTGATACCACATTTGTTATAATCAGTGTGCTAGACAGTGTTTTATACTCACTCACCCAACCCTCCCGCTCGCTTCCTCATATAGAGTCACATTGTTATATTTTCTATTTTATTTTGTCTTCTAATGATTCAACTTTGTAATTTCACATAAATCTTTGTGTCTAAGTGTGAAAACATTTATGTGCATTACTTTGATTAACATCTCAAATATGCTGGTTATATTTAGCTACATAATTTAGATTTTACATTGTGACTGTTATAGACAGAAACTATTTATCTAAATGGTGTTAATTTGTTTTTATTGATTACAGAATTTGGTTTAATATAGCTCATCCTATGAAATGCATATGTAACTACACGCCCGCGCTTTAAATCGTATAAGGTGTTTAGAGATTTTTTTCTTAACCAAAAAGATAACAAACAAACAACAAGTACAAAAAATTAAATACATATTTTAAAATTGTCTTACAAAAGAAGTTCAAAATGTATTAACTTATCTTAGCATCAATTGTTATGGAAATATATGTCTTGCTCGAAATATGAAAATATAGGACTCGCTAGGTTAAAGTCATGGAATTTGATAAATAAAATACCGAATTATTGTTATTGAACTTATTCTATATACAGTTCAACGTCTACAAATCGACTATCTGTAACGAAATAACCTCCTTAACAACAACGGTAAGAAAGACTGCACAATAAATCTCTAGAGCTACATTAAATGAAGGTGTTGCCCTTAGCCATTTCATCTTCATGAATTCCCGATTTCATCTACAAGAATTCAAATTTCAACTTGGCGAATTCCAAATTTCAACCTCGTGAATTCACGATATCAACTTCACGAATTCACGATTTCAACTTCATGAACTTCACGAATTGAAATCGTGAATTTATGAAGTTGAAATCATGAATTTACGAAGATGAATTCGTTAATTTGAAATCGTGAATTCGTGAAGTTGAAATCGTGAATTCATGAAGCTGAAATAGGGAATTCATGAAGTACTGTACGCGCAACTAAGCCATTCCATGATAATTTGTATTTTCTTGTTAAGATGAATTATTCAAGTTCTTTCAAAGTATAGATCTATCCCTGCATGACAAACCATCCAGATATTTCTGTCACTTGAAAAAAACAAACTAAAACAGACAGACGAAAATGTAAACTCATTTCTGTTGTAAATTGCTATAAATTCAAACAAGTAAACCAAGTGGCCCACTTGAATATCTCATAAGAGACAGTGAGGATTTGTTACATTGTTTAACGAAAATAAGACATGTCGTCGAGTACTGATATTTAATCGATTTTAATCACATGTAAAGATTAGACACCGGACACTGTTTACACAGAGTGTCAATCAAGATAATTAAATAAACATAATAACTCGAGATTTACTTTCACCTAGATACGAGGCGTTCCGTAATTTATTTATCTCGTCACCTGAAGGTTCATCAAAGGCTTAACAAATCCACATAAATCTTTCCATTTTCAATACTTTCTTGGTTGCAGTATTATTGATGAAAATGCATCTTTCATTTGTAACGTTTTTATTATACAGTAGAAGTGTTGAAATTTAATATGCCAGTTAAATGGAAACAGTCTTTCACGTATTCATTGCTTTGTTTTTGTTTTTTGTTTAAAAAATATTTATTTCTGCTCGTGAAAGATATAATAATAATGAAAATTAGGAAAAAATCATTATTATTTTTACTATATGATAGATGAATTTATATGGTAAAACGGAACTATGTAATCATCGCCTCTTAGGTGGCTTTTGTTTTATGATGTTTTAGCGTCATGCTCACTATTTTACGTGCATACCCATAGCAAGTAGGTAGACTGTTTTGTACCAAAATGTACATTTAATTTATATAAGATATTTAAAGATTAAACGTTTGAAATTTTTATTTGTCCAATGAGATTGCTCCATTTTTTAATGTTATTCAGTCAAAACAGTTCTATCACATGGCTTAAGATGTAAACACACTTAGTTTATACAGAATGTATTTTAGTTCAAGTTTATAGAATGACCCTTGAATCCGTGTCTGAGATCAACCAGTACATGTACAGAGCAATTGGCGAAATGTTTCTTGCTCATGGAAACAACGGCTTGTCCGAACTGAGATTGATCCCACGCGGTTAGCGATCCTAAATTTGTGTAATCTAAAGAATGTATTTATTTGATACCCAAAGGAAAATAAAGTCTATTTCGGTACAGTTATGAGTGAAAAATATGTTTGACAATCATATTCACTAAATAACCGAAACAGGTATACAATTTGTACATTCGGTTTTTACAAACATAATAATAAGTGTCATCGTCGGATACCCACGACGACCGCACCATTAGCATTTGTTACCCAGCGATGAATAAGTATATAATAATGTACTCTTACATAATTCATGTGGATTTTTACACGATTATATTTGAATAAACTTTGCCAACAACTTTAAGCATAAAAACTTTTTGTTTACATGAGATTGAGAGCCTGTACTGTGTATTCTTTCTGTTGTGTTCGAGGTCCTTTTCCGAAGTTCGAAAAAAGGGGCGAAAAGTTACGATTGTCGGCGGCCATATGCTTTGCGCATGCGATATTTTGAAACTAAGGTTCCGGTGCTATATTTGAAATAAGCCTAAGCGCTGTGTAGAGATATTAAAAATTTAATTTCAAACTCAGCATGAATTCATACAAATCTTTACAGATTAAATTTGACAAACACTTAACCTATTCTGAAAGATTTGTTTGAAGTTTATTGACGCCGCGTAGAAAATGACATCATACTGGTGGATGCTCATGCATTTTTGTTCCTGTAGATGACATGTAATCTTTAATACATTTAAATTAATAATATTTGTTTAAAAAACTGTTTAGGGAAGTTAGTTATATTAGGAACGTGTTTGCTATACATGCCGGATTGAAATCAGAAAAAGGAGTTAGAACCATCATGTTCTGTACCGTTTTAACATATCTAGAGGCGTGTTAATGACTTCTTCCTTTGCGGTCATTTTGTGTCAATGATGAAGACAAACAAATACTAGATATATAGGAAAGATATAGAACTATTTATTTCTCGCATATAAGAGTAGTTTAATATTGAAATAACACAGTTTCTAAACAATAATATTTTTGAATTTATAGTTATGCCTGCTAAAATATCTGAAAACTGTTGACACAAAAACGAACAGTAAAAATAATGGTATAAGCTATTTGGCAGCTGCAAAATAAAAGGAAAGAAAGTGTACAAATAATTGGCGATTACCAATTAATATAAATAGTATTCAATATAAGAGAGAGCTAGTGAGCTGTATCATAAACATTTTCGTTGACAAAATAATCTTTTGTAGCTTTTTAGGTTAACAAAGACGCCTGTTAAATTCATTCTTGAGTACAGATCAATGATGTCATGTCATTTCATATCTGGAAGAGTATTGTATATATTCATATAACGTTTTTATGACAGAGAACTGGTGTAACAGACATAGGAAAAGTATTATATATGTTACAGTAAACTATAAGTAATAAATAGCATATTTTGGAGCACAGGTCCGGAACGTTTTTAGATGATAAGTTTAAAAATTGTTATAGAGACTTTGTCCAACAGGAGGAAGTGGGCTCTCTCGGTCAGACACAGCAGAGTGAGGTCTCGAATCCCGCCTTCCAGCGAATGTGCTGTTGTATGTTGGTGGCGGGTGAATTAACTCATTCGATGGATACTGAGCAATCAAACTTGCAACATTAATTGCTTCAGGGGAGTTCACTCTGATGGAGAAGCCTGACATCTCAGATGCTGGACGTTTCTCTCCGCCAATTGTTGTTATAACAGGTGCTTGACCAATATTGAATTTGAGTGCAGCACTGGAGCCCCCTGCTTGGAAGAGATAGTCTTCGATTGGTTTTCCGCCATTATACAGGGTACCTGTACGCCAGCCTGAAATTTAAAAAAAAAATATATGAAATCACTTCATTTATCCTGGAACATATAACGTTTAAAATATGTATCCTTGTCCAAGTAAAATTAGATATAGAAATAGCTTTTATTTTCTTCTGTTAATAAACTGATTCGAACTTACCTTTCGCAATAGATATCATATAAGCGTTATTCTTTTGTTACATTGAGATCGTTTCTATATGACGCGTGCCATTTCAGTAACAAAATGCTTATTCAATAGTTAAATAGAAGCGTTTATTAGTTACCTCTTAATTGATATTGTATCATAGTTTGGAGACCTTTCTGTTGAAAATGTGTCAGAGTTAAATCGTATACATATACATGCACTGTGCGTTAACTGGAGTGCAGGTATTAGTTACCCGCACTCTAGAGCATGCCCATTGATTGGCTCATTGTTGCAGGGGTTTACTGTTTATTGTGACGGAAGAGAAAGGGAAAGCGACAGAACTATCATATTCAGATGCTCGTTCTTTGGTTACCTTTTCCCGGGGTTTCATATTTTGACAACAGGGAACGTGTTTTTATGTTTGACTTTGATATTGTTTGATTTTATTAACCTGTCAATTGCATACTGATTATACGGTCAATGCACATAATGAATGTTCGGTAATCTTCGTGAGATGTACAAATTATGATGTGATTTCATATAATTTGTTTCTATGTAATTGTTATACTGGCCGTTATAGCGCAATAGGGTAAGCTACCGGTTTATAGCTTACCGGTTTATAACATCTCAATATCCAGTGCACATGTTGACGGATCGTGACCGCGCATGTGTTTGTTTTTTTCTTATTTATGTTTTCAGCATTATTGAAGATATGATTGTTTTTTTAACCTGTTCTTTTTTGTATGTTTATTTTTCTTTTTTTATATATTTTTGCACTTATTTTGGTAAAGACCATACTCTTAATATCATGGTTTAAAAATTAATATTAAAATCAATAAATGTTATTTCAATGCCGTTAAAATCAGTAGACAAAAGACAAATCAGTGTTTCTAAGTTGTTTCATAACAGCGTAGACAATTTTGCAAGCCCTTTTCATTAAAACATAGTTAAAAAATAAAGAAAGAATAGATCATAAAAACAATGGCAAACGTTGGGATCGAACCACAGACCTCTCATATGTTAGGTAAACATTCAACCGACTGTGCTGTTGCGGATATTACGAGAACATAAACATTAAGAAAGTGTGGCTTTTCCAAACATTAGTTATATACTTCATATCAATTCTCGTAAATTATACGGACAAAACCGAAGTGTAACCGGATATTTAAATGGGTGCTTTAATGTATTCATAATTGACAGGTTAATAAAATCAGACTATACAAAAGAGAAAGAACATCAAAACACTCGGCAATTTGATTAATACTCGGGGGCTACGCCCCCTCGTACAAATCAGATAGCCTCGTGTTTCGATGCCCTTTCTATTACTTATGATATACAGTAGAATCCCTACTAAAGACCACCTCGGATTTAAGACCACCCCACTTTTAAGACCAGTTTTTAAAAGAACGGAATTTTCTGTTCTTTATGTCAATGGTTACATGATCCAGAATTAAGACCACCTCACTTATCCACATTTAAGACCACCAAATTCAGTCCCAATTCCTTATTTAGTTCTTTATTTGACCTCACTATTGAGACCACTTATATTAAAATCAACACCTTCCTAGATCTTAAATGTGTTGTTATGTTGTTATTATCTGCTTGATTACACAAGGTGTCAAAAGCTGTTATTTATGGGATATTTAATGAAAAAAGGTGAGAATGTTAATTTCATAGTGGTTTAATGTTGCTTTATGCACATTCGTTTTGTGAAGAAATAAACTCTGATATGATATGTGAATTATGTACTTCATACAATAATTATTATTGAAATCAGAACAAAGAAAATTTGATATTAAATTTCTTCAGAAATATGTTTTCTTCCCATCAAATATAACATTATAAAATATATACTTTTATATTGTATTTGCAGGGCAAGATACATATTGTTTATTCATACAAAATGACTAAAATAGGCCCTGGTCATATCGTGTGTAAGCAATGATACGAATATCCACAATTAAGACCACCCCGCAATTAAGACCACTTTGGTCCAGTCCCGATGGTGGTCTTAATTGAGGGTTTTTACTGTAGTATGAGACAATATAAATTGAGACCGATGAAATACCATCATGGGTCTATCATAACAAGAATAACACCGGCAATCAATTATGGTACCAAAATACGTCCTCAGTTAGCATCAAAGGTATAGAGTTGTTACGTGTAACCAGGGATTTTAGTTTGCAATTTTGAATCTGCATTACGAAAGGAAGAAGGGGATGAAAGCATAGGTTTCTAGTATGCTAAAATTTTGAATAGGTGATTCGAAAATCTCGATTTCATAAAATGTCAGACCCTATATTTGAGTGATGCATAGAGACAATACATTTGACAGACTCCAGCAGACTCTACGTTTTGCTGAATAATTAAGCATATTGAAAGGCATCAGCAAAAAAACATTAAGCTATCAGAATACCTCAATATTGACAGGAATTTTCATACAAGGAATATAGATGAATCAAGAACATTAGTAATTAATTGACACTGATTGTTTTTCTTTCTTTCTTTCCAGTAATGCTGAAGTTTACAGATTTTCAAAAAAATCAATATCAATAATTAAGATTGTATTTATTTTCCGTTTCAATGACACGGTGTGTTATGTCAAAATTATTAATGTGTATGCAAGTAATTCTGGTCTCTGACAGACAAATATGTGTTTCTCAACTCTACATTTGTATCAAGTATAGCAAAATATCCATTACCATCTTTATATAGTCATGTGATCAGACAATGTCATTAATAAGTACTTAACCAACCTAATTACCGTATATCGTCTAAGAATAGTTCTAAACCGTTCGGCATATTTTGTCGCCTATCAAATACAGGTACTTCAATTAGAACAGGTTTTGAATAGAACAGAGCATTTTCTTTTTTGACATATACAAATGTACATCGTCTCGTTAACATAAATAAATACATATATACAACATAATCACATAAAGATATGTATCTCGAGTGTAAGGCTTTCAAATAAAAGGCGAAAACTTTCTAAGAAGATAAACTGCAATTGAGATTTCAAAATTGATTTTCTTTAGTTCAGAAAGCGTCGAGCTCACAAAATTATTTATTGTTCAACGTATTAGTAAATCTAGAATTTCCGATTCTTATTTATCAGATGGGAAATATTATACGAAATGGGAAAAAAAATAAAAGTTCTATATGTAATGTGCGGTTGCATATTCTATGTGAATACATGTATATGATAAATTAAGTTAAGGAAAAAAGCATATAAAGAAAATGTAATATTTTACTAATTTAGTTATAACTGGATTAAATAATGAACACAGAACTAATTGTCAGCAAACTTTATTCACTAATAGAAAACGAACTCATCCAATAACAGTTTAAAATTATAGACATATTACATACAAATCATACATACAGAAAAGACAAAACATCTAACAGAAATAAAAAAGTTTATTTAAATAATAAAAAGATCATTTCATAAATGCACTTAGGAATTTATGGCAATCTGATGTAAGTGATAACACAATAAAACACACATAAAATAACGTGTATTGACATTGTTTTTTTAAGTCTATAATCAAGCTTCAAATTGCGCCTGTCCAACTGGGGGAAGGCTATTTTCTATTTCTGTTACAGGAGTACATGCTCTGTGTAACATTGGTGAAGCTGAACAAGTTGAACTGGATTGTCCAGACTCGAGTCTATCCGTCAATCTTGAAACTTGAAGCCTTTTGCCTGCTGGCGATGGCGTTAGATCACCACCATTTGTCTCTGTCTTGGTTTCAGTGTTCAGAAAATCAGCCACCTTGACATTGCTTATTTGTGACCTTGAACTTAGTTGTTGTTCATGACAAAGTGATCGTGCTGTTGGCATACCAACGTAATACTCGTTCTGAGGTAGGTCAGATATTTGTATTTTAGTTGTCATTGGCGGGGCCGGCTGATCCATGTATCCTCCCCGCATACTTGTGAATGAAACTTCTCGGAATAAGAACTCCTCTACATTTCCTTTACTAAATCCCACATAGCGAGTACCTAAGTTGAAAGAAAAATCTGATTTTACTAAAAATATTTATAGAAATCTTAATGTAATGCAGTCTATTCCAAAAGTTCAACATTTTTATTAAACTACTTTATGCAAGTTAAAAAGTTTCAGATGTTATTATTAAACCTGTTTTCTTAATCTGTTTAACATTAAGTCGATTTTTTTTCTGCTTTGCATTTTAATAAAGCTCATAAGAGCCCAGCTTCAACATTAGCTATTGTTTTGTTGTTTTAACTGCACTTACCTTCTAGGACTGTTAGAAAAAGAGACATGTTAGAAAGAAAGGTGAAGATTGTAATCCAACAAATAAAGTGCGTGTTAAAATGTCTGCGAAACTCGCGTTGAAATGCAAAAACCGAATGCAGCACACATGACTAGTAAAGAGTTCATGTATGTAACAACATTCGGTGATCACGAAATTCGACAGTATCTTTAAAGTGTAAACAGACATTAAAATTTCAACATGGCATTGTTTAATATACAATTTTACTGTTAATATTACACAAATTTAATTTCTTAAATAAATGACCAGTACATAAGGGCGTGGAACGTGCAATAACCATCGGGATATTTCACACTCCAGGGCTGCATTTCATAGAAAGTCTTAAGAATATCCTTTGTCCTAGGACGTAAGATCAGCTTTAAAATAAGACCGTTTGAATGCGCACTTTGCCATTAATAAAAAATTGGATTTCAATTAAATTCTATATCCTAAGAAAAGTTCAGAAATAAAAAGATTTTCATTTTATCTGCAACGTGTAAATGTTTGCCTGCATTGCTACAAGTATTCAGAAATTACAGTAGTCAAAACAAAAGAGTCATAATTTAGAACATTTTCTTTGAAAAATTTGGTCTACAGAATGATTCTAGATTAGGACCTAATGTGAAATGCAACCCGATTCGATATTTTAGAATGACGGACTGTATGATGTGGTAGCAGCACACCCGACAGTCATTTTAATATCATTGGAAGGGATGTATGTGCTAGAACACTCGGGATCGATATTATTGTTAAAAGCGTGATGAATTTGGTATGAATACTGATGTCGATTTCAGCGCCAGAAATAAAATTACAAATAAAACGCATGTGAAGTTAAGCACACCTTCAAACTTTTGTTAGAGATATAAAATGGACAACAAATAAGATATATTTACCAGTTACAACACCAGCGTCAGTTACAGGCTTTACAAACACTGGAACTATAGTTTAATTTTCATGTGTGTTAAAACAGAGATATTTTAAGTTACAACTCTTTTGAGAATCTTCCATACGATTATATCAACAGTTTGTAAAATTTATAAACATATTTCATGAGATAAAGATTTATACCGCTTATGGAAATAAATAAATGCATTTTTTCCAAAGATGATATAACTGACAATTAGAAATATTCGAAGTTTTGTTAACTTACCGTGGGTCTGTGTCTTAGGCTTGACCGCAAACTTCCAAATGACAACAACAACAATTATTGTAACGAGAAGACAGAGCAGAACAATAATTGCGATCAGGTAACCAGCAAGTCCTTCATCGTCATCATCTTCTGACTGTTAGAGAAAATTATGTACATATACTCTTATTAACGTTAACATTAATTTTAAATAATCCATTATAATTAACTACTATTAATTGTTTTAAACATTTACAGGAGTTATTATAAGAGGTAATGTGTTACTAGTATTCATCATAAATGAACACCTTTTAATCAATCACTTTAAGATAGTTCTTGTATTTTTTGCCCTCTTTCAATCGCAGGCAACCATGTTCAGTCTGATAAGTTTCATTTTAATGCAAACAGAATATGACTTTAACAGTAATTCATTGCCATATTTTAGCTATCTTATATTAATTTGCCACATAATGCCGTACCATATCCCCACACGTGACTCCATAGTAAGTTTGGTTGTTGATAGTGAGGTAGGGAGATAGAGTAAGACTGTAACCGTTGTAGGAGTAGGCGGTCTTATTGCAGATACTGTCACAAAGACTGTATGCTGTAGCATTCACTGACGATGATGTCCCTGATATAACAAATGTCACTACGATACTCCCTGAAATATTTATAAAGGGATTTAATACAAATATATTTCTTTCATGGTTTAATGTATTAGAATAGCATTTTCTAGACCGCTCAATGAACAAAGACTTTTTCGCAAACACATATATATATATTCCTTTAAAAAGAAATATTACTCGTAGAAGCATACAAGAAATAAAGAGTAAAAACTTTATCAAAACATGAAACGAGACGCTCCTTAATAATTATAGTTTGAAAGGAATACTATTTATTTATTTTCATATTTCCATTTGTATTAAAACCGGTTCATTCACTGTCTGATACCTTCTCTGATAGAACCGACTGAAAGCAATACGTCAGGCCACAGATTAGCATATTCTGTCAGTACCATCTGCTCAAACTCATTCTGTTTGTCCTCTGAGGGCAGTATCTTGTTGAAATCTACATCAAACTTTACCTGCATTAAAATACAATTCAACATGAACACATTATACAGGTAATTTGAGTATCAGAGCTCATTTTTATGCTTTCCTCAAAGACGTTTTGAAGGAATTCCCTGTATATTTTGTGCATAGCACTGAGTGGTACATCTCTGAATATTTTGTTATAAGTAATTAGAAAGTTGTTGGCATTTAACTAACACCACTATCATTCAATGTTTGTAATAGAATAATCAAAGCATCCGAGCGCTTTTTTGTCAAATCATGAACTACATTTAGGCAAATTTTGAAATTTACCTAATATATTGTAATCTTCAATTGTTACATCAAAAACAAATATAGAAATATAGGCTAGGCTTAGTTGTACTTCGTAAATAAATATTAACATTACTCGTCAAGGCCCCAGGGATTGATTGGTTAAGTTCATGATTACGAATAACATGACCAAAATCGCTGTTTGTTCGATTACTATAAGGGAGTTGAATCAACAGCACCAATTCTACTCAAGTCATCAGGTACATCAGAAAGAATGCACAGAGTGGCGCCTAAGATGACAAGATAGTTTGTACCTGTACTTCATATTCTTCCTCAACTGTCATGCCAACGTGTGATGGATGTTTGACGTTCAGTTTGTGGTTCAAGGTCAAGTTGAAGTCTGGAGGGTTCGAGACAACCCTGAATTGTAAGTAGTACATTCCAATACCAGTAAGGGTAAGATCTGGGAATATGGACTGACCCGAAGATGAGTCAAATGAAGATGTAAGCACGCCAGTCAGGGAGGCATAACTTGAGCTTCCTAACAGGGTAACCTCAGACGTCCAAGTGTGATCCTGATAATAACAACAACACAACAATGTAATGATGATGATAATGCTTATGATAATGATAACAATGTCAATCAATCATGTTACAATAAACTATGAGAAACGCAAAATTAAAGGAATTATTGTTACAGATAAGCGTTCATTCGATAAGTATCATCTCCTATGTGAATTCTTAATATAATTTAAAATAAAGTAAATAACAAAGACATGAATATGCATATTTAACTTACTCTCCATGCTATATCTGAGATGACATCTTCTGTATTAGAATCTTTGAGATCTAGTGTTACAGAGAAACGAGCATCTTTTACGATATCACCACTTGTTTGGTCATGTACATGAACTTTAATTGGACGTCCATCAACATCAAAGGGATCTGACGCCAATGTAAAGTTTTCCGCTTCCGTCGGATAAGAAACATTGAAATCTAGTATGTAGCCTGTACCCATATGGGAAATTGCTAGGTCAGTGAAGTTGAACCAGCCACTGGAACAGTTAACTGTCAATGTGCCGTTCAATATTGCACGTGGGTGTCCATATCCGGTTCGGAGGCTTGCAGTCAGTTGCCAGGGAAATTCGGCAGTACCCAACTCAGTTAAAATATTATTCTGAAACAGAAATATGCTCTAAAAAACATACATATATATCTTCAATAAAAACATGATAACCACTGTTTAGCTTTCATGAATTAATTGAACATTTAGTTTCAAATATAAATATATCTGTATTGATTAATATAATGTTACAATTAATTTACATATTAATGTATAGCGGATTACATTTCAATAGTACCAAAAATTATAATAACTTACGGATATATCTTCAGCACGTATTTTTGGCTGCGTTTTAAGTAGAACACCTTCATATTCAGGCTCTGGTTTATTGACGAAGAACAGGTGGTCAGGAGATGGTGTGTTGTAAACAATGGATGCCACCTCGGGATTTGATGACGGTACTTCAACGGTCTCGCATCCTCCACTTACGTTAAATGAGTCACTAATGTTTCCTACTTGACACTCGTTAACAATGTTAGCAGCAAGCTCCAGTAGTGTAGAATAATCAATGGTATTGGACGCCGTGTCGTTTATACCTAGCAGTAGATATAAAAATCATGTATATTTCATGAAAGACTAAATGTAATTCAACTACAGATGATTTAAAAAAAGTGCGAATACTTGTTACATGCATGAGTCTTTGAACAATCAAAATGATAAAATCGGAAGAATCACACTTTAAGTCTTTACCCTGGTTTTTAATTGCAAAAGGACTTATATGATGTAATCAATTACATGAATAAAGAATGTTGTAATTACTATCCACAACAACTATTTTTAATAGAGTAATACATATATCATGCTGCAGCTTTATCAATCACAAATAGTTCTAATGTAATCCTTATCTTATATTTATTAAGAAATTGTTGATCTTACGAGGTCTAAGTTATCCAATTTAAAATAACACTTAAAAGTGATGATGCTCAACGTAAGTGAAGATGATTTTGGACATAATTGGTATAAAATATTACCTGACGTTGGTTCGTCACCTATTTCAATTTCAACCGAAATACCACTAGTTGATCTCTTTCTGCGGCGTCCACTACTTGCAGCACTAACGACATTTACCACACGCACTTTTGTCAGCGGAATATTGAGAAAATTTGCAAGGTTTTCTATGATATCATCTCCAAAGAATTGGTCGACCGTAAGGGCTGGAATCCCGAATGAAACTATGATAGACTGCTGAGTTTTTACATCGATCTTCTGTGAGCCTTTGATAATGACAGTAAGTTCACCTCTATCTCTGTCGAAATAGTTGGTCCCTGTATCATTCGCTAGCTGAGGCTCAAACTCATTTCCTGAATTGTCAAACAAACCATTGACGCATAATTGATACATTTCCCCCCCAAAAAACCACAAAGCACAAAATAACACCAAACAACAACAACAACAACAACAACAAGAAATTGATTTTTATAATATGGAATGACTATGGTCTGTTTTAAGATCAGGTGTTATTAAAATGAAAAATATTTCTCATTATTCAAGAACATAAACGGACACTTTTGATAATTCGAGGAGCTTCTTTTCTAGTTGGATGGTTGTTTCTACATCGTAAATACAGTAATAAACACTTTCATACTTTGTCTGTTTTTATTGTCCCCATTTGAACACATTTAAATTGTTCATATCGCGGCAGTTGCTCCATCTAACCGATCTTCTTAGATAACTAACAAGTATACAGTTATTACCAATTGCCAATGACAAACGACCATTAAAAGCAATATCCGTTGCTGAAAAAGACGATTTTTGCCTCTCGCCAAGGATCCATAAGCGATCAGTGGATTTGAATAATGGGACGGACTTTCCTTGTGGATCTTGTTTATCATATTTTTACTGGAATCTAAAGTGGAGACTGTAGAAACGACACAAATAAGCCTGTTACTATAGTTCTTAACAACTTCTATTTACCTTTTGGCATTGACGATATATATCTTCCATTACCATCGATTCTTACATTAGTAGCCATAACATAGACATCGTCAACGTAAACATCCAACCTATTTGACCTTGAATACCAGACAGTAAGCTTAATACCCTTATCATTGTCCACGTTCAATAACCGGTATCGCAGCTTTTCCGGGGTGACACTTGTGAAATGCACAAGGTAATCCTTGTCTTCAATAAAACAGTAATACTTATATATTTGATAACAAACTGATCGGATCATTTATGATTATGTCACAAAAATACTATTTTATGCAAATAAATAAAACATAATTCAATCGTTTACAGTACGGAATGTAGAGAATGACTAAATGGAAAACTGTTTCATTGTTTATTACATCATTTAGTACCTGTGACAACAAGGGCCATGAAAGTAGACAACCTTTTTCTGCATGTATACCCACTGCACCAGCCGTGATCCTGCGGACCATTAATCAGGTCAACGTACCCGTCACCAAGGATTGCGACAGGAGACAGTCGCCGAGTTTCTGTGTCAGCATCCATGCTCTCAATGATCAGCATCTCATAGTTCAATTCCTCGTTACACTCATACGCCTGCCAGCTTGAATGATAGGTGCAGTTATTGTTACGTATCACACCTACAATAAATGAATATCAAGATTATTTTATGAACTTTAATGTTATATGATATACGTATTAAAATTGCAGTCCTTACTTATTAAAAGAATTGTTACATTTTGTTCTTAAATAAATAATCAGGAGTTAATGCTGAGAAGTAAGAAGTGTCGCCAAAAACGTAAATGAGTAGCAAATAAAAGTGGTTGGAATAGGAAATTTCTGACAAGAGTATTTTTTAGATATGACAGTAACATATTGTCATGGCTATTGATGATATCATCAAAAGGTTAGAAGAGCACTTTTATGGTTCATTTTTTACATAAATACGTAGGAATCCTGCATATTATGTGACATTTCTTTGCCCACGAAGCTTGATTTGAAATAAACTGTTCAATTCATATTCATTGAAGTTTGGGGTTACTTTGTTAAGCACAAAGTGTCCATTCCATAATGTATATTTAACAGTATGAGTAAATGTAATATCTTTTTGAAGCAGCAATGTTGTCGTGCTATCACATGATATCCTTTTTGTCGTCCTAGTCAGTTAGTTACAATCTATTTATGTATTAAAGGTATGCATACACAAACTTTAACATTAGAAGAATTTTAATGTATTACCTTTATGGGGTGCAATGGTATCATAAGGTATCCTGTTGCCATTCATGTCAGTTACCATTTCTTTAGGTATCCTATAGTCTCCTAAACCACGCCTAGGATCACCGCCCCATTCAAACTCTGATTGCGGGATGACGGAGCCAATATGCCCCAGGAAAGTACCGTCTAAATCTTTGAAAAGAGCCTTCTTTAGTGCATCACAATCCATGTCTATACAGTCAGCCGAGTTGATTTTCCTGTAAATTTCATCAGTATTTGTTTGTATTGTTCAATTGGTAATTCAATAAAAAAATTCACATCTTTCCGCATATATGAGGAATAATGGCATATAAATATATGTGTGATTTATATGTAAATTTATATGAATAAGTAAACTTAATAAAACGAGTTAAGAAAAATATTTTTATGACAATGAATGTAAAATAGAGAAAAACTGAATCCCGAAAGAAAAATCAACACGGCAAAATTGAAAATGTTGCAGGCTCGGTTTCATTGAGACTGTTCATGGACGGTACTGGAAGGTGCAAGTTACCGTCCACGCCCCCTAGCACCGGCTTAAGCAGAATTCACATTTAAACACGGAAATGGTGAAATTTTGAATTTAGAAACATCCGCAGATATATTCATACGGCGGTTATCATGGAACCTGCAATGTGACACAGCAGTGCCATTCCATGAAAAGCGGCGTATGGTCCCCAATTAAAAAAAAATGCGTGTGCCCTAAACGAGAAAACAATGGGCGGAACTAAATAAAATGGAATTTCGAAAGGGGATCTGAGGTTATGAATACTTGTTATCACAGAACGTACCGGTAATTTAACAAGAATAAGCAGGTTACAACTATATTGTTTTAGTGAAGCAGCCGTTATACTTTAGGAACTCGAAAATAAGCTTATACGTTTATAAATAACTTAGTGTTGCTTTTATTCGCTTATTCTCTGATATGCACTTATAGACAGGCACAATATACAAAGAACGAAGAAAAAACGCACTTTAACCATGGTTTTATTATACAATTTATATAATTAAGATCCGTGCTTTACAACATTAATCAATTGTGGTTACAGTTTGCTCACGTCTGTTTTTGACTTTTCTTCAAAACCGATATAGTTTTATAACATGTAAGTACTGTTTGATAAAATAATATGATTCTTTGATGAGAATCGGACTCATAAACCTGGTAATAAATCACAGTCACAGCATAATTAATATGAACACACATATATGCGTTTTTTTGGGCGTCAAACTAGGCGACGAGGAAAGGTATATGCGCTTATTTACAATACGGTTTTCTCTTTAGAAAACTATATGCGCTTATATTCTGATGCAATATTCCGGGGTAAGGAAAATTGACTTTCCATATGCGCTTATATTCAAACTTGCGCCTAACTAGTGGACTTCTTAAAAGGCACACTATGCCTCCAGAAATCCATCTGTTTACTTTAGATAATGGATTAAGTGCATGTTAGGTGTTTAAAAACTGCAAAAACGTGGCACTAAACATGCATCTATGTGTCGTTAAGGTAGCAAAATATGAATAAAGTAGGATGTTGACTTCCATACAATATACTAATTCACTTTAATTATACCAATTGCCAACTTAACTAAAGATGCAAAGATGGTTAATGTATGTAGCGAATGAATATGGTTTTGGAAAGTTTAACAAGATAGCAAAAAGAAGCAGTTTCGAGGAATAAAAATGATTTCTTAGGCATAATGGGCCTTTAATTCATTTATAATTCAAGTATAAAACGTTAGATAAAAATAAGCGCTTTATTTAGATAACATACTTAACGTTTGGTCTATGGTAGACAATCTTGTTTGATGCATCAACGTCAATGAGATTGCTTTCTCGTGACTCCACTGGATGCTGTCCATCATCGTTTCCAATATTAGTAGAAATAGCAAAATTTGATGTACAAGAAGTACTCTGGTATTTCGCAAATGTGACATTTTGCAATGTCATAAGGCCACCGATGGCGTTGTACGCCATACATCCTGTCCATGGCTTGAAAGGAGCCTTATTGGTTTCTTGGTAAAAGTTTGGGAATACTACACCAACCATACCGCCACTTGGTGCTGGACTTCCTTTAGCTTTTGAAGTTAGATCAAAGTTGTCGTCTTTTGATGGAGGAACGTCTCTGCTGCAGTCAAAGCTGTCTGTTTGACCCACAAATGTCGAACTCTTTACTGCCACAGTTTTATTTGCATATTGGTGTCCTAAAGCACTTGGTTTTATAACTATTGTCATAAGTCCATTTTTATTTTCAATCAATAAGTTATTCTCGGCAATTAAATTAAATTCGTTTTGATAATACATTCCAAAGTAGTTATTTTTCCATACCGTGTATCCTGATAACTTTACACAGTCAGTATCTTCAATCTTATCATCTGGAAGTATGACGACACCTAGCACATTAGCGAATGCCTTATTATTTGTGTATCGATCGGATGAATCGTGACAACTCTGTGGATGAACATGGAAGGCTATTTTTTCGGATCCAGTTACAAGATTATTTTGGAGAGTCAATTCTGTAGCAGTCATAGCCTCGATTCCAGATTCCCAACGTGGGTTAAATGTTTCATATCGATCTTGGTAAGTTGCAGTAGATACGACAAGGGTTACCAGATTATTCACGATACGTGTGTCGTTTGAACTTGTTCTTATAGCTAAAGAAAACAATTTAAATAATTAGACACAATCCAATGTTTTAAGAACCTACCTCTTTTCAGCTATAAATCTTAAAGTAAAATGGCAAAACAATTAAGAGCATTCAGCAATATGAAAATGTTGTAGTCTAAATTGTTTCATAGTATTTAAGCACGGTAAAGACCTAAATTTAACTTTTACATATAGCGATGTTATATGATCTTACCTTCACCAACTGACCCAAAAACAACATTGTCCGAGATGTTGAGACTTCCAATTCCAAAGGCACCTATGGCAGTGTTGAAACCATTATGGAATGAGCATTTTGACACAAAAGATGGCTTGACTTCACTAACAGTTCCAGTTGCAACATAAGCCAGAGAAAATCTAGGGTCATATTCCTCTGTAAATCCCTCTTGACCAGTGTGATAGAACTCAACATTCGACATTCTAGCATAACCTATATTAAATGAATACATCATTGTATCAAAAATACACTACAAACTGTACATAATACAATAAAGATATTTCTATATGCTTAAATGAAGAACATTAGAAAATATCTTAAGATATTACAGTGGATAGGTTATACCTGTATATGTTTGTCCCTTTGATGTTACCAAACCAACAATAACGCGAGCACCAAATGATTCTTTATATAAATCATCGTAGTCCTGACCTATTATCTTGATATTGCGCGATAAAAGGCCAATAGCAGCCCCAACGTTGATCTTCTCACCGTTAGATAGTGTTTCTTTGTGAGCTGAAATTTAATTTTGATCATGGCTAATAAATCAAGTTCTCAATATAATTTCTTATTCTATGTAAAATATTTCACTAATTATGTAAGTTATTTAGTTAAGATACCTAATGAGTTTTGTCATATCTACATATCTGCTGTAAGTGCTTCATGTTTATGCAGAGGTGTTTGTTTGAGATGAGTCTCACTGATGACAACAGTATTCAGAGCTGATAAATATAGAATCAAAGTAAACATATGTTCATAGGTGACACAAGTCCCCATTTTATTGCCTGAATTAGAGGCATAGTTACATACTTATGGACAATTCATAAAGATCCATAATAACAAAGCTCTATTTATTTGTAGGAACACTTTTAATATACTTAATATTAAACACTTATCTCTCTAAAAAAGTAAAAAATGAACAAAGTACAAACCTGTGTGCTGATATTTAAGTGTTGCATTTAATGTGATGGTAACTTTATCAGCTGCAATTGACTCAATTTTGAATGACTCTGTCTGCCATGGATCGAATCCAGTTGGACCAATAACCATCTCATCACCTTGTGACCACTCCACCTCATCATCAAGAATGATTTGATTTGAACCCGCATTGGCCGTTGTTGACAACTGAGTCCATGTTCGTCCGACATCTTTACCAAACAAGTCCAAACCTCCAAAAACACCTAACAAGGAAAAAAAAAGTAATCTTGTACATTATAATACTAATTTCATGATATAAAAAGTTTGGATTTAAGGGAAAATGCACTTTTCATGATGAGAAAAAATTTTGTTTTTTATTTTCAATCATTCGATACATAAATAATATGAGGACATTTTTATACCTATAGCCTTGGATCCAAGCACTGGCCCATCACCAGGATCATAGTAAGGTGACGAATGATCCCCTCTTAACGTTATAGTAGCTAAACCATCAAATGCATCGTCCGGCCATCCTATTATAAGGCGCCCTCCTTTGATGATAATAAAATCAGCTTCTATTTCATATACAGCTCCTGGTGTGTCAAAAAACTCAAGAACCCCTTCAAGAAGTAACGTTCCAAGCTTGTTGAAAGGTGTTGTTTTATTCACAACCACCCATGTTCCTGAAACAATGTAACCCAGAAAATAAATAAACTGTGATTATTATGCATTTTTGTATACATTTTGTATCATGATAATGGTAGTTTCTAAATCATATTTCCAGAAATCATCAACTGAGCCTTTCATCACAAATATCATCAATATATCACCAGTTAAAAGGAAACTTGTCACTACTTCAAATAAATTAATTGAATAGAAGGATATTTTTGTTAAAATAAAAAGAGAAAGTTAAGTGCGTATATTACTCGAAATGTTCGACAAATGTATATCCAAATCTGCTTACAACGAAGGCTGCTGAAGTAGAATCAATGGCTGATAATAATATTGGTATGGGTACTTAATTATTATTGGATCCAAATTAGAACACATAGATGGCTATATGATAGAAAATAATGAAACGTTATACTATCATGAATAGAAATAAATTTATAAGCAATACATGCCGTGTTGTGTTTATTAAAAATCATTTGTGTATTTATTTAAAGACAATTGTCCCTATAAAATATGAAAGCTATATTTCTGTAAAGTAAAAAAATAAAAAAACCCTATAAATATATATTTGTTCGTATTTTATTCTTTGATTTAATGCAAATGCATTACCAAAAGCTATTCGCACATTGTCGTAATCCTGTGGTGTTCCGTAGGAGCCGCCGATATTAGAAACAAAGCTATCATTGTTTGAATTGTTCCATATTGTTGTATCATCCCAAATGTCAAAGTCAAGTGGTCTTTCTGTGTCAGGCGGAATAGTATCTGGGTCAGGGGGCGGGATACAATCTTTATAATAACACTTGTACGATGTGAGACTAAGTGGTCGATCAATATTGTACACAGACATTCCCCTTCTTGAACGTCTACTGCTATGAACTGTTGGGAAAAATTATCAAATTCTATCAAAATGTAAAACATAACACTTAGATATCCTTTTTCATTACCAGTTATTCTTAATAAACGATATATTGTAAAATGTTTTGATGTGCTTTAGAAATCAGATTTGTTAAAGAAAACATTTCAAATAGACTTACTTATAAACTTCACTCTGTTATTGGCGTTATCCCATTCCCAGTCTCCGTTTTTAGCGGTGTTTGGATCTAACCCACCTACTGTAGCATTTACGAACGTGTCTCCACCATCAATTGAAAACCTGTCGGGAACTTCCTTTACTTCTACCTCCAGAAATATGTAGTCACCAGTCTATAATATGTAGTTAAGATAAAGGAGATACGTTTTCAGTCTAGTCTTTCATAAAGTAGACTACGTATACAGATAATATAATGTAACAAGATTAACACTATCTTAAATGATCAAACCCTTCAAGACCCAATTACATATAGAATAGTTATCACATTGCTTTAAAAGTGGTTAACATGTTGTGGTCTTTTGTCTTTTTCCGGAATTAGCATATTCACGACATAAGCTAAGGTAGAACAGTAAACATAATAATAAACATATTAAGACAATCATAACGTATATTTAGCGAAAATACACGCGCTACTTGTACCTAATAAATACATATCATTAGTGTCAAAAAGCTGTGCATGAAGACCCTTCAGAGGTTAAAAACATTCACTTTTACATTATTGCATATGCTTAAACCTCACTTTACCTGGAAGTTATCAAATTGTCCAGTGAAGCTGATATTCTTAATCTGTGAAGCATGCTCGAATTCGAAGGAGTATGAGGCGCCACCAAGCATAGCCATCATCCATCCAGGCTTATGACTAAGTCGTTTCTTACGGTATGGAACACTACTTGTTCCATACTGGTTTGTTATTAAGAAATTCTTTCCCTCTAATGATTCGGGCAAGATCTGATTGAAAGCAAATCGATGCCAGGTTTTATGTGGGCATAAACTGGCGGGAATACCAATACTAAATTCTGGTGCATGTTCACAATCAGTTGGAACAGTTCCAGTAGTTGGTATAATAGTCCAGTTGGCAGGTTTTCCTGTGACAGTTCCATCTATGTCTAGTATAATGCCTTCCCATTCCCACGCATAAATTGCCTTATTTGGAGCATTTACGAAAGTGATACTCTCCGTGTGATATGTGTAGCCCCCGCATTGATCAACACACGTTCCGTCTATTCTAGTCCAGCGAAATGTTGCACAGTTACTGTCAGCAAAGTTAACAAATCGTGTATTTATCAACCTAAAACCAGCCCCAAACGGGAAAACAATACCACCTCTCGTACAACCTTGTTCCTGTTCGGGTATGGTGGTCGTTGTACCGACAACTAAGCTGTCAGCTAACATAGGCGAATTTTCCGTAAACTGAGGCACATTTAGAACCTTTTTTCCTTCGTAACCTGCTAATTTGTTCTGCACTAAAACAAAATTCTTGAACTGAAGAGCACCGACCATTACAGCTTCTGCACCCTTGTCGTTGTTCCAAGCGAATAATCCATCAAATATTGCCGGTTCTACTTCTGTACCCCCGCATGGATCTTTTTTAGGAAAGTAGTCAGGGAATATCCACAGTCCAAACCAACCAAAGCCGTGTGCTGAATTGTTTAAGAAAATCCCAAGTGGTACGCTTATTGGACAAACAGATTCTGTAAAGGACGGACCTTCAGGGTGATTGTGCATTCTGTACCAATAACCAAAATGTGAACCACCAGCTGCTGCGTTGTGTTGAATAGTATTATTTGGGTTTGTAACCCAATAGGATGCTGGAGTCACATCATCGTTCAAAAGACTAGAACTATCTCGGACAAAAACAGCTAAATTATACTGTATTGTATTTCCCGTTTCAATACCGTCCTCTAGGAAAAATGCGCCGCCCATGATATTGTATATTACAGTTTTCTCAATTAATGTATTATGTGTACCATGAATATTAACAGCTCTGTTAAAAGTGTGATGAATTCCACAACCTCTTACGTAGCTAGTAGACATATCGCCATTCAAATGGAAATGTACTGGGTATCTCCCCAACCTAAATGCTTGTCCAGCAAAGGTAACCTCAGTATAGGATATACGAGCCTGAGCTTCGTGGGTATCATATACAGGAGCGTGTACTAAAATCATAGCGCCAAACTGACTGCTGCCTATTTCATCTCCGAATCTACCGAGGAAGCATGTTTGAGTCGCGAACTCTCCTGAAAAAAGGTTGATAATGGAATTGAAAACCTAACATTACTATTTATCATATACAAGTGTAAAAAGTCTAAACATCTGCTCCAAAAGATGAAACTTTGAATAACAAAAGAAGAATGATTACAACAAATAAGTTTTAATATGATCAAACAAATTAAATCATTTGCTTACAATTTAAATAGTTTCTCATTAACAATATCGGCATGTAAGATGAACACAAATCTAAATTGGATTTTTGCTATCAAATAAAAAAAGAAACTGTTGGCGCACCTGTATCGAATCCTGCTTCGCAAGCCTCAATTTTATCTTCCCATTGAGCATTAGTATTACCCCTTACAACAACGTTATGCGTTAGCAGTCCCACTTCCGCTCTGAACTCTACATTTGTCCCATCAAATGTTTCCTGAGTACCCCAATGGGTGGCTTCAAGAGCAGAATCAAGGGTTAGTGTAAGTTTGTCCAGTGATATATCAGTGATGGTTTTCTTCTCATTTTCACTTTGTGAGTGTTTATGGCTTGTGGATGCAATGACTATTTCGTCACCAATATTCCATTCCACTGGGTTCTGTAACTCAAGTGTATTTGATCCAGCTGTTGCTGTTGATTGTAATCTTGTCCATGTGAGGGGCACTTCAATACCTGCAAATATTACATTGTCTCTCAATAAAAAAAAACAGTATCGCATGAAAGGTCATGACGTTCAATTTCTCTAAATTATTTATAAATATTTTCATCCAAAAATGACAAAAGAAAACAAAAGAAACTCTACAAATGCAATCCGCAGTTTCAGGCGAATTATTTTCCTTTTACAATTAACACGAAGAAATGTGCAAATTTATATAAAAAGCACGTATTAAGACTTACCGTGTAAATCAAGAGTTCCATTCCGGACTGCTAATACCTTTGTACCGTAAATAGGTAGTTCTTTATCTCTATGGTGACCATACAAAGTGATAATGCCCTTATGTTGAAAAGGTTCAGATTCTGTACCAACTTGTAAAAGACCTCCATCAGTAATCATTATAATCTTTGCCTTAAGTTCCACGTCCTTCTCGTCAAATATCAATTTACCACCTGAGTATATACATTGAAATATCATTTAAAAATATTTTTTAACTTAAAATGAATGTTAAATATAAAGGAAAATAGTAGTGTCTGAATAACAGCAAAATTATATATGTTTTAGATTTCTTTCACATTGATAAGTTAAGTTGGTAAAGGTGGTCAAAAGAGGAAATCAATGTAAAATATTGGATATGCATTTCATAAACATCTTCGGTAATTTTCCTGAGTAAACGTTACTGTCTTTACATACAATATCTCATGAACCATACTACCATGAATATATTTTATCACTCATGCAAATATATTATCATGCCATACCTTGTATAAGCAAGAAACTGAGAATTGGAGTGTCTGTGTCTAATAACAACGTCATACCAGCAGGAATGATAATGAATTCGCCCTCTTGAGGTAGAGAAGAACCTCCCCATGTATACAAGGAGGACCAAACATCTATGTAGCTGAAAGCTGCATCATCAGACGCAGCCTGTGTTTAAATGTATACTAATGAAACATAAGTTTGCAAATAGATTCATTAATAAAATATCATATTACAAATTGTTAAAAAAAATTCTTTTTGTGAACAGTTGCCTCAGAAGTATAAAGTTGTAAAAACAAATATGATACAGCAAACAATTCTTATTATAGATTAAGTATAAAATTAATTTACACATAGACAGTTGCACGATCTTTAGACAGGTCAACATATTTATAGACGCGTTAACACCGTTTCCTATATTCAAGGGCATATATTTAAAATTCACTATCGATCATAAATATATTGAACGGGAGATAATTTTTTAACCTCTTCAGCAACACCATTCCCGGACACTTGAACTTCGACTTTTGTATCAACTGAACCCGCATGCGGTCCTGTGGTACAAACAATCTGTGTGGCTATAACTGATGATGCTACACATTCTATATCATCTATCATCACTTTAACATCTCCAAGAACATTCCTGAAATTGCAATAAGAAAAAGAAATTAATTAGAATTGTATTCAGAAATCGAAGAACACTCAAAATGTGGAACTATTTTAACAGACCTTTTTTGACTATGCTCGCTTGCGATATATAAAAAACAATTGCAATATAATAAAGACTTTAAACTAAGCAGAACGCCTCAAACTGCAAAATCAAAACTGTGTAGATCAATTTTGATTGAGCCAATGCAAACTGTCGCCAGAGCAATATCCATCATGTAAACATAACAATTTTAAAGTTAGGAATGTCGTCAGATATGTTTATATAGAGGTAAAATCTTCAATATGACAAGTTTCCTATATTCAACGGAAAGTGGCATCCATGTGGTTTCCAAGTGAAACAATGCGTTTGTGTTAAACGAGAAAATTAGCAGAGTTAAATAAAATGAAGTTTGAACGAGAATCAAATGTAATGAAGGCGGCACAACCACAGACAGCCGTCAAAATACAAATTTAAAAACCAGAGAATATATCATTTGTTTGTTGAAGAGCATTCAATTATAATAATTTGAACCACCCAACACATTCTAATATAAACGTGTGATGCCATATTGCATGATAAAGACAGCGTTGGGACAAATTTCATTTTAAAAACTATAAACATGTGTCAATATTGAAGTATCATCTGTGTGTGTTGAAGTTGTACTTCAAAATATCAAAATAAAATAAAATATACCCAAAACCAGAGCCAGTAATCGTCAGAACCGTACCACCACCTGTTCCTCCGCGTGACGGATTAACAGCAGAAATAACTGGAGTAAGCGCAGCATTATAAGTGTACGCATTTTGGAGTGTTTTTGTTAGACCATTAAGAGACATTACAACATTGCATGATTGTGCTGAAAATAAATATTGATAAATAGTTTAATAAACATACATTTCTGTTTTTTTTTCAGTTATGGACAGTTCGATTAATGAGTACCTGCAGTATGGATTGGTTTCCTAACATATATAAATTTAATAATGAGTATACAAATGAAGAGTTCCTACTCAATAAATGAAATGATGAAGGATTAAATTATTATTTTTCAAGTTTCCTTTACCACGTGAATTTTTATGATCTGCGTTTGGCGATAAACTAGAAACAAAAGGTCGGTCTAGGTTGTAAACAAACCAGTGAAAGAGCTTGTTTGTGAACAAGAAGATATTCAGAAAGATGATTATTTGCTTTCTTTTTAACTTTCTCGGGGGATCTACAAAACGTTTATACTCACAACGAATATGTCAATTACAAGAACTATGTGACAAACGTAAGAAGTATCATGTTCTCAGTGATGTGATATCTTTTCTAGTTTTTCGGGATAATTGATCCAAACTCTTTTGGTGTGAAGGATTAAATACCTCCTAAGCCGCAGCTTAATCAATGGTTTTTGCGGGATCGACCATTCCAATTACTTTTTGTTTGTAGAATGAACGAGCTCTAGTGGTAAATTCATAAAATTACTTTAAAATTATCAAGTTATTAATTATAAAACTACATGTTCCAGGCTCTTTCATTGTGTGCAGATGAAGTGTTATAAGTAGGCTATGTGATTTTTATATTTTTATTAACATTTATCTTCAAAATAACATACAAATGAACCAACCAGTATTTGCTGGAGTTTTGCACGAGTATTGTGTGGAGGTCACCGTCTCCGGAGAACATGTTTGTCCGCATATTGTAACAGAAGCTGTATCCTCGAATCCGTTACCAGATAATACAACTGTTTGTCCTCCTGCCGTTCCCCCTAAAAATACATTATTTGGTTGTACATTATTTGGTTGCAAACTTAACTTAGACTATATATAGAGTGAAAAAGAGACCCCTGTCCAATAAAATATAATAGTTATAGCACATTTCACTGAAGATCAAAACGTTATTTTTATGAATGAAGCATAGTAAATGTACCTTTGGGAGACCATCTGTTAAACGTAACTATTTCCCTTTAAATGTAAGGCCTGATCAGACAAAAGATAACACTGTATTTGTATTGGGATGCCATGCCCCGTCTTATTTAATTTGAGATGTGGTATAATACTTTTCTTTTGAATGACAAACATTATACATTAAATGATACAATTATATTCCAAAGTACTTTGGATTTAGTAGCATCTTCTAGTTATACTACTATTTCTATTAAAGAACAAAATGGATGATTAAACAAATTATATAAATCTAATATGAGACACATGTAAATTTAAGGAGTACCTTCAATTGGAGTAATATCACGAAGCGTCAGTTGATATTCAAATCGTTGATCAGTATTTGAAAGGCCCTTTCCTTCTACAAAAACGGACACCGGGACAGAACCAGTTGCATGACTTCCTATGGTACATTGAATTTGGTTACTCGAGCTTGAAGTAACAGAACACTCGACATCGTCTAAAGTATCCAATATAGCACCACCATCTAAGTTGGAACCGGATACTGTTAAAGTCTGACCTGGTAGCCCGGATGAAGGACTGATAGAAGTAACTGTTGGTGTTGATCCAGCACTGTAACTGTATGAAGATGAAGTATAAGATACTCCATTAGATGTAACTGCAACATTAACAGAACCAGCTACATGAGAAGGTGTCTTACATGTTACCTCTGCAAGTGTAGTTAACATGACATCACAAGATGAACCATCTAATGCTATTGTAGTATCATTTTCAACAAAACCATGACCTTTCAAAGTTATAATTGTTTCACCATGGACACTTCCAGATGATGGCGAAATCGCAGAGATAGTTGGAGTACCGTAAACCTTCAATGTTCCAGTAGCTTTACCGTAATCTTTTACTTTCACAATGACATCATTATCTCCAGCTGGTATGTTATCAATAGAAGCTGTTAGAGTTGTATCAGCAACGGTTGAAACAGATGCAGATACTCCGCCTATTTGGACTTCTACCTCCGACGGATTTGTTCCTAGAGATGTACCAGTTATTGTTAAGGTTGTTGTCGTTGACATACTGTCTGGATCTATCGATGTAACGGATGGTGTCCATAAAGAAGCGTATGAGAATCTACAAGTCCTTGTTGGTGTCTCACACGCTGCTATCAGAGGACTGTTATTTACGAAGGCGTTTACTTTTATATCTCTTTCCCCCTGGGTAGATGATGGACTTTCACAAATAATTTCTGTAAAGGAGCTTTCAATGATAGTGCAAAGAGAGTTTCCGATGTAAACCAGTGGAGCATCACCAAAACCAAAGCCAGTTATGGTGATACGAGCGCCTCCGGCCATTGATCCAGACGTTGGTGAAATAGATTCAATATTTGGTAAGAGTCCAAAACTATAAGACTCAGGAGATGTCAATGCAACAAGAGCATCGCCACGATTTGCTACCCGTACAGCTAATGGGTGCAGTATACCAAGCTCGGGCTCTCCAGATTTAGCAAATGTACACGTGACTTCTGTCTCACTAGAAGATGTCACATCACAATTGAAATCGCCAACTTTAACCTCATTCTGACAGGCTGTATTTGAAAACCCGTCACCTGTTATAATTATTGGTGTCTGAACTGTTCCATTAATGATATTTATAGAATATACATTAGGTGTGCTGCATGTCCAGAACGCAAAGTTAAATTTCCTTGAATCACCATTAGTTGGCCGATCATCCGAACATGAAGTCATAGTTGTTGTCAAGGATTTACATGTTGTACTATCGACAGGATCGTCAGCTCCTTAATTGTAAGAAATTTTGATTTCAAGTCATGCTGAGCAAATATTGTGTTCTTATTTCTAGTATGTCAACATTAATATATATGTATGTACATCTTTCAACACGTTTAAATTTGTCAATCATAGTCATATGCAATGTTGTAGCTCTAATATCTCTAAAACCCCTAATTATTGAAATTTTAATTGTTTATTCTATCACCCACATTTTTGTGCAATATACAATTGTGTTATTTTTATATTGCGAAAACAATAATGATATTAAAAACTGAGTGATTCTTACCTCCGATTTCATGCAAAGCCTCTTTGCCTCCAATCTTTACATTTATCTCGGCTAGACTAGATTCTGCGTTTTCTACTTTGATAGTACCAGCGTAGTTTTTGATACCCCATCGGTCAACATATCCACTCCATACGTAATACAAACCAGGTTCTGTGAATCGCTTTTTATACTGGCCTACACACAATATAAAACCAATCATTCTAAACGGACTTATTTAAATAAGAAGAGTGTTAACACGAGTTTATATGTACAAAATAAAAGTAAGAAACATTTTTGCCAAAAAATACAAGTTGTTGTATTTACATTTATAGAATTTGATATAATTACAATATTAAATCATATCATTTAAAGTGAACTAGAGCTTCACAAATGCTATCGTCAAATATGAGAGTTATGAGAGTTAAAAAGTCAAATTAGAATAGAATATTAGAGATTTTGATTTGAAATCTGTTATATTATTAATTTACTACAATTGCTACGTGTCGTGATCATAAGTCAAAATTTACTTATTGTATAACAAGAAAAAAATGATGAATAAAGAAATAAATAAATAGAGTAATAATAAATCAATATGTAATTATTATAGAAAAAGCAAGCCAACAAATAAACAAACTCAAATATTCATATATTTTCTATTTACAAAAGAAAATGATCAAATTATCTCTCAATAAAATAAAACCATTTTTGGTTGGAGTTCCACTATTGAATCCTCCTGACTTAGCTGTTGTTGCGCTTGCGCTGTCGGTCTCAATGATTGCATGTGCAACATTGTTAACAAAATCCGGGGTTTCCCATGACCATAACACGGAGTCTCCAGCATTAATTTCGATATAAGGTTTGTCGAAAGCGTAGAACACACCATATTCTGGAATGAGAGTAGGAATAAAACTTATCGGAAATAATGTATCTCTTCAATTTACATGCACGTTGTTATTGTCTAGCAAAGCAATTTACAATTCCAAATTTTACATCTGAAAGACGAGGCTTGTAACATGTTTGTAATCCAGTACAAAATATATCAAGTATTTACTTGTAAAGCTCGACGTCAATGTCTTAAGGAAACTTTGAATATTTTCAATTACAGAGAAAAAAGCTCTTCATAGAAAATAAAAGTCTTACATATAGATTGTTTCGTGTTTTTAGGAAAAACAAGCATATGAATAAGAAAAACATGTTAAAAATATATCACCAGCAGATGTTCCTTTGTTGGTCACAAGATGTGTTTGAGCAGCATCAGCAATTATACACATTATCTGGGTATCTGTGACTGTATCAACTACACAATTAACAACTCCGACACTAACATCAACTACAGTTTCGTTGGTTCCGAAACCTGTTCCAGTAATAGTCAGCTTTGTGCCACCCAATATTGAGCCTTGTAGTGGGTAAACGTTTGTTATACGGAGGTCGACAGAAACCGTTGGTATATCTCCAGATCTGTGGAATTTAATTAACAGTTTTATGAAGGTATTTATAACGTTACATATGTCAGGTAAGATATAAAGTTTTGCTTTAAGTTGAAACATATTCGTTTAAGTTCCATTGTAATGAACACACAAGTACTGGTTTTATATCCCTCTGTGCCTTATTTCAGGTACAAACGGGCAACTAAGCAGAACCAACCAGGTTTTTTAAGCTACCTTTCGGCCACGATGATGATCGTTAACCAAACCGATGATTCCTTGGATACGCCGCAGATAGATAAACCACATAGCTACCGTTTCCAATACTTTGTTTTTTTCTTCCTTATCATACATATATATTCCGAACTTACGCATTAGTTGCTAGTCCATTGCTTGTCTCTACTTTAAGTTCATGTGTTCCAGCAGGAACACCTGTGACATCAACTTCAATCTGGGCGTCTGTCCATGAAGCAATATTACCAGTTACTTTACCAAGATATACGCTTCCTGCAGTTGTGGTGAATGATGAACCAGCAACAGTTAGTCGCCCACCTATATCAAACAAAACATAAGTAACTGTAAGCATAATTTTGATTGTGGCTCTCTGGAAAAGGGCAATCAGTTTGTGGATAAATCGGTTGCTTGTTTCAATTAATCTTATGAAAAAAATAAAAAAATAAAAGGAGACCAAGAAAGTACAAATAAACAAAATAGAATAAAATTGATGAAAAAGATCCATCAATATATATTAAAATATTATTTGTAAATGTACTACTATCCGCGTAAAAACGTCGTATTTGGTAAAGATAAAGCATAAAATTCTTTATAATGTCCACTTACGTAACACGTTACATGCAAATTTGTGATCACAGGCTAAATAAACAATATTAGTTAACATTTTAAACATTATTTAATACCATGTCTACGTATTTAAATGACATACCAAACACCCCGAGTGATGATGGTGTCACACTAGTGATAGTTGCTGTCAGAGATGAATCATATTTATACCCGGAAAAAGTCATTTTAGTTGACCCTTGAACTACCTCAACATCATGTGTTCCATCTGTTTTCTAGAAATGACATCAGAATAAGATGTACACTTTGTTGAATTGTTCAATTAAAACAGTAAATTCAAATAGGTTTGTTTTCCAAAGCTATCAATAGATGTAGTTTATTTTACTCAATAATGACTGTTTGTTTTGCTTAAAGTGACACATATCTGGCGCTTAATGATGAAATATTTGGTCCTGTGACAAATAATTTATATTACATTTTGAAGAAAACAAACCTGTTTCCGGAATTTTTAACAACAGTAAACACACGTACGGTGATATATTTCTTCGAAACCCTATATACATTCTTACTCAGTTAGTTAGAACGAGATCAACTCAATGCATGCTTTATTGTAAAGGAAGTTTTCACAAAATAGATAATAAATATTTGTGTCACAATATAAAAACGACCTATTTTGTTAATAATTTAAAACGAATTTGAGGCAAGAATTCATTTCTAAACCGATAAAGAGAAAGATTTGAGCAAAGCGAAATATGTGCCTAAAACATCTTACCATGGGAGGTACAATACATGTGATTTTGTCAGGCTGAATGTCAGCTACGTCACACGAAGCTGAGTTGATTGTCACAGACGCTCCACTTTTAAAACCATATCCAGTTATTGTCAGTGTTATCCCACCTGATCAAAATTGATTTCGTAAGAAATAATAATCAGAACTAATGCTAACATTGTATATAATCTATAGTGAAAATAATTTGTTTTGGCTTTGTCACTTCTTTTCGTAATCTGACCAAACTATCATTGAGATGTGGTAATGCTCAGAACAAATCAAATCAATATTTTTAATTCGCTGTTTGTTAAGAAGAGAAGTTTACTAACAATTCGCTTAAAGTGTTATTACGCCCATCATTAAGTGTAAATGATCAGTGAATAGTTAAAAATAAAACAAACTTGACATTTTGACTTTATTGTGATCCATAGTGTAATAATGTATGTATATTTTTCTATAAAAAGGTGATTAATAAATAATCTGCATGACCAACGAAAATTTCTATATAAATTTATCGTTCAGGATGTATCTGGGGCAGTCTTTATATGATTTAGGTAGGTTTTGTACTGTATTATTAACATTTTTCATTATCAATTACTGGTCAGTCAATTTTATAATAGACAAATATTTCACTAATTTAACTCACAATGACAGCACACATGAGCATACTATTCCTTTAAGTTTGCAAACATGTATATCTCAATACTGCTTATAGCCATATGTAATATGAAACAGCAGAGACATTAATTTAATACTATATATATGCCTGCTTAAAAGCTTATTTGGGAAATACATACCTCCAAGACTTCCTGTTGTTGGTGAAATGCCCAAAACATTAGCCGTATACTCAAACATCACATCTCCACCAGCGTGTTTAGCTTTTCCCTTACCATCTACACTGACTATTACCTTAGATTGACCTACTGGACCATTGCCGACGTCGCATGTGATACGCGTTGCTGTTGAGTCGGTAACTGTACAAGCCACGCCCCCAATGTTTACAGAATTCTTTGTTTTGTCTGTGTCAAAGCCCGTTCCAGTTATTTCTATTGAGGTACTTAAGGCAGATGTTCCTAAAAACATAATTCTAGACTAACTTATTTGCATTAGATGCTAAAATATCTTCGTTTGAATACTCATGCAGAATGTGATAAATTATTTTAATTTGTAACTAAAATGACGCATAATACGTTTCAATAAAATACAGTTCAAATTTGTTTCACAGAATAATTTATAGTTTCACTTTCTATAATTATCAGGAATATGAAACATTTTTTGGTGATTAAAAATTGCGAATTGTCACGTATGGTCTAATTATGTTACTATATATTACAAGTGAGTACCCTTAGACGGCGACACCGCTGTGACGGTAGGCGTTATAGAAGATTTCCACTGGAAGGAACAATCTCCAGAGCATGCTGTCGATACATCATTTATGTACAATCGTACTTGAGGCGTATTGTGAACTGTTGTAGCCATATCACCAGTTATAGGCGTATAGAACAATCCCCCATCAACAGTTGTTGAAATGCTAGCGGCAGCGTCAATACCATCCAAATGTTCGTTACTCACCTGAAAACAAGTAAAGACTTCCGTACAACATTTGTTGCTTGTCTAAAGGAATATATTGCCAGCTTCTAAACTACATGATATTGCAACTTTTAATATACATGTACTTTTATTAAAGCTAAACATCAATTGTAAAATTTAGGAAGTGCATGTTAACATTTAAAAACTTCCAAATACAATTGTTTTTTTTTTCTTCTTCTCGAAATAATATGCCATAAAATATAAACCACCTATCTATCTCTCATACATAGTCAATGTTTTCTAACATAGTTTTACTTGAGTTTACGTAGTCTAAAACATTTGCTCTAATTTTTTTTCAACTTAGATTAATAAAAACAGTTCAGAGTCAATTCTGTTATTTTATGATTATTCTCTAGAATGCAGTTATGAGAAATACTTGTTTTCATCCTCCCCTATCAGGTTTTCCTGTTTAAAACATAATGTATTCTTCTTAAAATCTGATAAATGCTAATTAACAAATACACCACTAACTATCATTTCCTCTTGGTCACCAGGTAAAGTCAAAAATGTCACAACAAGGTCGAAATTTGCACAGTCTCCTGACTTGATCACACTTAGTGATCCTATTCCTTTTAGGGACTCGAGTTCCTTGTCAAGATCTTTCTCGTCTAAAGAAATGTTTAGTCCTGCAAACATAGATAATATATATATAAAAATATTTCTATTTGCCAAAAATAGATATTATGAAAGGTTTCTAATTTGAAATAACCTAACCATTCTGTTTTATTTACCTTTACTTAAACTTTTTAAGTTATTTGAAACACAGTATAAAAATGTATGCAATGTTATAAAATGATTTCGAACTCGATGTGAAAAGGACAAATGTAGGTCTAATCCAATGAGTGAACATGTCAGCCCGTTTTTCCAGAATAATCACACTAACTGTGAAAAAATATTCCAAAATTCCAAATTTCCGAGTATATTTTTTAATTATTATTTGCATATCTGTTTTAAGTGCTACTTCCTGATCGATGTAAGAATTTAAGTTCTATGTTTTTAGTCTTTTGGACCTCAGTGAAGTTTCTTCTAGAACAGAAAATAAAATGAATGCAAAATAGATTGTTTTACGTGAATAAAATGGGGTCATCTTCATTGTATTTATTATACCTGTTTTCATTTTTCCATTGAATTCAATATCTATTTTCCCAGTTATAGAAGGTGATGCCTCAGATGTTCTCTTCACGTCAATTGCGCCCTTGCTATTGTAAAGTGTTGAGGTAAGGGAAGAGCTAGGATATGATAATTGTCCGCTTGTCACCTGGTAACAAAATGAATGAATAATATTAAAGTGTCAATCACAAACATGCTAATGATGAAAAGAGAACTATTAAAATATTTTCCGATATTCGACCGGCTTTCTCAAAATTAGAAATTATTTAAAAGTCTTAGAGATTTTTTAGACAAAACCCATGATTACATACCCATCCGTTTCCTAATTCAAACAAAGGGAATTCGTTCCCACACTCAACAGGTTTTAATGTGACTTCATACTTCGTGCTGGAGATTTCTTTTACACTAGCTGTATTAATCAGTGCATTATTTGGGCGAGCCGGTCGGCGACGGCGTAGGTTCACCTCTGAAATATATATTTTATTTTTTAAAAGAATACATATGTATGAAGATATAACAAAAACATGATATACTGACACATTTCATTTTCCTTAAAACATACTCTTTGCTTTGCTTACTACAGAATCCCATAAAAATCGACAGGAGCTGATGCAAAATAAAAAGCAGCAAACACAAATTTTGGTGACTCTTGATTTGGTGGTTCAATGTAAGACATGACTTTGATCCATGTTTATATAGATCTTCTTTCTTTTTACCATACTATTGTTTATTTCGGTTGAATTAAAACACTCTTGTAATCGATATCTAATAAAAACAGGCCATGAAACCTCCACATTATCGAGTTGTACAGGATACACATAGTGACACCAAACAATAACTAGGCGGACAATTGGCTTGCAGAGGATATTGAAAGAGAAAGGAAAAATAAATATTAAAATACGTTTTAAATTTACCGCGGACCATAAGCTAAAGTGAATTACCTGGGTCGTTAGTTGTTTCTTTCTGGCCAATAACAACAGCGTCTATATAACCGGACTGGTCAAAATTTAAACTGTATACTCTCACGGCATCAAGTCTATGCTGGGTAGCACCGGGGTAGAGTCCCTTCACTTCGTCGTATATATTCAAACAGGTATAGAACCACGTCTCTGATCTGTTCATGCAATATTTATAAGTAATTCATTTGTTGACAGTACAAATAATGTTGTTTTTTTCTAAACTTATCAAACAATAGACGTATTCTAGAATAAAGAATATTTTGGCTTTTTTCCATCTTTTCCGGGGTTACAAACAATCTTTTACAGTTACAACTTAAAAAAACAATTACAGCAGATTGACGTATCTACAAAATTAATATGGAAGTTATGAGAAAAGTGTAAGTATTAAATTGTAGAGCCATCGTACCTTACTTGGTTGTCCACCGAGAAGCTAATGTAAATGTAATAAAAACAAAGCAAATCAGGACCAATTGCATGATTTACGTTAAACATTTAATCTTTTATTCGCCAGATTATTATCTGATCGGATTTTTCGATGTAAATTTACACAAGTGATTTTCGTAAATTACTTACTCAGTGTTGAAATCAGTTTTAAACATATGTGGGATGTGGAGAGATACAGATTTAGTTTCCAGTGTCGTTGGTGCTTTATACGAGAAAGTAATACTTATATAATTCTGCAAATATCCTTTGTAAGCGAAACATAACTGAAACAAACATTCATCAGTGTGAAAATGTAACATTTTATTCCCCTACAACGCTAAATATTTGAAAATGGTTTTTATAAAAAAAAGATTGGTGTTTATAGTTAAATGAGCGCTTTGTTTTTACAGATTCTGCCGTTTATATATTATATATGGTTCAATGTTGTGAAATAGAATCTATACTGCAGGTTCAATATAGTATAAAACAAATTAATTCGGTAAATTAAGAAATTAATATCTAGAAGAGGTATTGCATACCAAGAAAAAGAATGTCAACAACAGGATTTGGTGCAAAATAATGATAGCAAATAATTCAATGCAATCACATAAATATAATGAACGATGTCAAACAAAGTCAATAGTTTGATATCAACCAAATACATATATCTTAATAAAGTGAAATTAACTACTTAATATAAAAAGCGAAAACTGAACATAGCAGTTTCAGAATGAAATTGATATCAACTAATTTTAGTAATAATATGATGATATTAACAAAAATGTACACTTAGACAAAGCAAATCAGGTTTAACAACGAAAGTGCACCCTTATTAAAACCAGTTCCTAAATTGCTACGCTTCATGTAAGAAATAAAGCAGTAGAAAAGAACTTAAATCCGATTGAAACGAAATGTGGCCAAAAGATAAATATACATACAACTCCATAAGATGACATTGTAATTCCAAAATCTTCATCGGGTTTCTTGTAAAGTAGATAGGGGTCCTTCAGTGAATATCTTCCACAAAAAGGTTCTGTGTCTTTCACTCTTTTCCCGCCAAATTGAGGAGAATCAGATTCGAAACTTTGGAAATATTTGGCTGTACTTGGCGAGAACGCTTTCGGGCATTTAGCTTCAAACATACCACTTACAGCTTTCTCTAGCTAGAATTACCAAGCATATAATTAGTAAAGTGTTTATTTTCCTATCTATGTTTATATTAGTATCATCTTTATACCAAAAAATCTCGTTATACGGGTTTGATTAGCTTAGAAAATGTCTGGTCTAATAACAAACTTAGTGAAAAAGAATTTTACTAGAGAAAATGACTAATCAAATTGCAAATATGATATTAGTTGCCATGCTGAAGAAATATTTATTTCAACTTACATTTGATGCACTGAGGCCAGACACAGAAAAGGGTTCTGAGACAACTCCCGCCAAAGAAAGCGCCACTGTATCTAAGTCTGGTGCACCAGTTGTATCCTGGGATACTTCATACTGCACTGAGGAACTGTTTACCACTTCAACGACACGAATATCTGGGAAGTCACCTAGATATACACAATTACCTCTCGTAAGACCAAATTATGATTATCAACGTATTTCCGGACAATAAATAGTGTTAAAACAAATAAAAAGGTCAAATGTATTCATTTTTTATTTGGCTAAGAAAATGAAAACATGTCAAGTAAGTTTTAAGTTTTAAAACAAATAGATGATAGACATTTTGCAGCCTTTACAACTCAGCACAATTAAAAAATGATTTTAAAGTGCACCTGTCAATTGCAGTTGCACGTATTTTGAGAAAACTATGTGTTAGGTCACTGCAAACTGAACAAATTTTGTCCTATTAATCCTATTACTTTATTCTTCAATTAAGATATGTGGTGACTAAATGTTTTTGTGTAAAATTTAATCAACAAACACTGCATCATCGTTATTGTAACGAAATGTAACAATATTGACCTGGCACTTCATGTATTTGATTTATAATTTAGACCATTTGTTATAACCAACTGGTTATATACATTCACATCGATTTACAAGTAGATAGTAACGTTTACGGAATTGACCGACTATGGGGTCAAATGCAAGAGTGCCAGGACAATGTTGTTGGACAATATGCAGTAATGTATATTGTTATTTTGATATTAGAAAGACTACCTCCTTTGGAGTTAAATGTAATCTGGTAGGTTGGTGTAGCAGACGACTGCCGCACTACAGTCACTGATTCTTCACTTCCAAATATGGGTATACTATTTATAGCATCTTGAACACTTGCTTCGTCCATGTCAATAGTAAGAGGCTCTGGATTACAAAATCAATGGGTATTTGTCTCACATAAGGCTTAAAGATATATGTTTTTCTTAACTTTATTTGATAGTTTATATAATAAATAGATTAAAATATATGTTTTTGAATTTTGACTTTTAAACCTTTCATTTTACACATAACAACAACATTTTAATCATACTCATACCAGGAGTTGCGTTCCAGTCACATCGATGCATCTAAAGGTAATATGATGCACATCTAGCCTTCTAATCGCTAGTAAAGGAATACGCCATGCATATGCACAATTAACACATTCTGGTATTTTTACTCATTACAACAGTCAACAACAATGAATTTACTTACTTACGTGTTCGTATTGACATCTTGATCATATATATTTCTTAATTCGGAGGTTTTAATAGGAAATGGCTTCATTAAATGAACAATGCCACTAGAAATTACAAAGAATAAAAAATTGGACGATAGAATACATACCTGTATATACGTTAAAGAGACCAAATCTGAACTGACCAGGTGTGGTCACCTCAACAGTCTGTACTTCATTTGTAGCATCTTGACTCGAAAACTGATTAAACTCCAGTTCCTTCCCAACAAAAAAGAAAAATATATTCACTTGACACTCAAACAATGGGAATACTTCACAAATGTTAACAGCATATTAAATAATACTCGTTAAAATTTGATTGAAAATCCAAGTGGTAAACCTTAAAACATATATATCATATATGGCGTATAAACATTTTATGCCTGCGTTCTTATTGCAATTTAATCATAACTAAATCTTATTTATATTGATCAAGTAATTTTAACAGTTTTAACAGAAGTCTTAATAATAAATTTTGTAGAAGTAGAAATGGAATAGAAGCACCTACTTGTACGTCGTATTTTACTGTGGACGAAATCTTGATAACTTGTTCCTCCTGTTTGGCGTTGCCTGTCCAAGACCTCGTGAATGTCGTGTTGAAATATTTCACCTTCAGGTGTATGGACGAATCACCACTTGTTTCGTAGTGAATTACGTGAAGAAGATATCTAAAGAAGAAAAGATTAAAAGCTGGCTTTAACGTTGTTTTTCCCAAACGTTGACAAACCTGAGTGAAAATTCAAAATGCAGATCTATTTACAATATATCTAATGTGTTAAATGTGAATAAATTGTTTTGATTGATCATCTTTTTTATTTTAGAAATCACTCAATTAAGAAGATCATAAAATAGAAATAAAAGTGTACCGTCCATGAATAGGCTCAACCAAAGCGAGCCTCCCAAAGTTTCAATTAGGCCGTGTTGAGCTTTCTTAGGGAATCAGTTTTCCCTTTTTTTACAATATATTAAATGCATTTGAGGTAAATTTATGTATTTTGATAAATCATGTCCTTTTTTGAAATGACTTAATGGCGAGGATCATTACTTGTTATCATAATTTTAATTCTAATGCAAGTTGTATGTCTGATTTACAACGATTTACTAAAAACATTTCTACTAATGACTATAAACTAAGAACAAGTTACCAAAGATATATTTGAAAACAGTTACATCTACAATAAGTTGAACACAAACCTCTTGGAGTTATCTAGAGTCATTTTTCTGGATGTACCCCACGACTTTTCTGATGTTATTTCTTCAACCTAAATAGTAATGAAATTGAATTAGACAGAAGAGTGATAGGTGAACAGGCAAACAAGAGTAACCATCAGAGAAAAGCTAAAACATGTAAAACAGGAATTAAATGATTTGATAATTTAAACAAGCCGTTATGTTATAATGATTCTGGCATTCTTGCCAGGTTTTCGTTCACGTGAAACGTTATAATAATTTATAAAGGTAAATCACTCTATGGCTTATGAAAACGGACTTTTTTTTGTTTACTTTTTATGACATTCACAGAAGAAGAACATTCTTTTGTCTTAAACTGTACAGTTTTTTGTCATAAATATACATGTACATACATAGTTAACAATATACACTATGATCTAACTTCTACTTAATTCAAACAGCTTTTTCTTAGTCTCGAAAATACTCACACCATCAACGAACAATTTGGCGCCATCGTCTGCGAGCAAATGGAACTGGTATTTTCCGGTATGAGGTGGTGTAAAATATGTCGTCATTTTACTGACGTAACTGTCCATTGTATCGTTGACGTCATAGAAGTATGTCTCGTCCAAAACATCGGCGTTATAACCAGCTGATGAGCTGGTCAGTGATAGGATGCTGTCTAGGCTACTCATGTCCTTGCTTGTGGAAGTCCAGTACTCAAAGTTAACACCACGGTTACCAGGGAAACTGGAAACACCAGCACTGGCGTCTGGAGCCACTTCGCAGCTCACATACTGGTCTACCACAACGTCTTTTATTACGCATTCCGTATCTTAAATAACAATAGATTTAAGGAAACCAAAGAATGCAAAAACAAAAGAAAAAAATATGAAAATGGAGCAGATTATTTTGATTGAATCTGTCCATAGATGGTAGTGGTAAATACATGCTACCGTGTATACACATACTCATATAGCTTTTTGTTCAAAGTTTAATTATTGTTATTAACCATTTAATATACCACCGACGACTTCTTATTCATTTAAGTTATTTATCCCAAAGCACGTCACAATCGCGATATTAAAAAATCGTGCATTATTTTATGCCCTCGCCGAACACTATATGCAAAGACCAATAATAGTCATTTCTTACCTCATTAAAATCATATTACTTTCCATTTTGAATATTTTCAGATATAATTTTACAGTCTAATTACTGATGAATATTTATAACGTGTATAAATAATAACTTTTGAATGATTGCGGCGATAATGACTTTACCATGCCATCAAACAGATCTGTCTAGTCTGCCCAGACCCTGTTCTATTCGCTGTATAAAGTTGAAGCTTATAATCCTGCAGGATTCCGGAGTCATATTTTATTAAATGAATACGACAATGTAAGAGTTACAGACTTAAGTAAAGCAGGTGTCATCGCCAATCATTCATTCCTATTCTAAAACCCACCTGAAACAAGAGCATTTTCACACAGCAAGGTCTGCCTGTACATTTGTGCAGACTGACCTGGTGATGTCTGTCATAGTTTGCGGTTCGGATCAGAATATCAGTTCCGAGGTACAATTGGGCGGTAACGAGGCTTGTTGGCATTTTGATATAGAAATACATGATTTTTAATTGGACTGTACCAGATTCAAAGCTGGACAAATCCATTTTAAACACTCAGTATGTTAAGAACAAAGCAATGATATAATGTAATTCTTGATACCTCCAATGAATGCCCTGGGTTGTGTATAAGGTGCTTTGTCATCAAGGTAATTGCCGTAGATTGTGAGTATCAAACCTCCCTCCAGGCTGCCCTCAGCTTGTCTGATTCTCGTAATATCTGAAATATATACATGTATGTAAGAATTTAGTTATTGACAAATATTCGAGAACTTTCTATACTTCCTTCTTAAAATGGTTTAAATAATGAAATTAAAGTGTTTTTCCCCATCACATGATTTATACAGCACAATGCTACACACATAACTAATGTCGGCTTTGGTAATTTTGAAAAAATATATTTATAGATCTTTTGACGATTAACCAATATTCTGTTTGAAAAATATCTTTCTCCCAAATATAATCATAAAATTTAAAAATATCAAACCGGTAAATTTATTTCTGTCATTTAAGCATATGTCACCTAAGAAAATTTTGACCACGAATCCCTCATATTTTCTCATAAAAATAAAAAAATCAGATAAACACGTGTATACAAATGTATATACATGTACAATCATGATAACTGCTTGATATGTATTTTTGAGTTACGCTTATGATTAAATTAATATTAAGAATCCTCTAATTTTCTAAAATTTCATGGACTTGCTACAAAAAAAATCGGATCCAAAGATCTATTTTGAGATGATTGCTAGCTTTTTATAATAATAATAATAATAATAATAATAATAATAATAATAATAATAATAATAATAATAATAATAATAATAAAAATAATAATTAAAAATAATAATAATAATAAACATTTACCTGTGTATACCTGGAACATATGAACTTTATCATTGTATGACATACGGTACAGTTCCGGATCAGGGTTTGATCTGTAAAATATTTTAGGTTGACTTTGATGAAAATTATGTTTAATTAAAACAAATTAATTTTAATTTTATCTAAGCTCGATGCTTAAACAAGTTCTTGTAAATTTCATTGACTAAAATATGCTGGTGTCATATGAAGAATTATAAATGTGACAGTACTAGGTCAACGCTTCTTTTTTCTCAGTAGTCATTTAAACATGAATATAATTAAAATCTATTATTTTATTATGGAAATTACCCTCTACATTAAGCTGTTTAAGAATTATATATTATATCCGACATATCTCAAGACATAGGACAACTATATTTAATGCACGAGTATCCCTTGAATGAAGATGGATTTATTTCAAGTTCATCACAAATTATAGAACCCCCCCCAGGAAAACAACAACAACAACAACGACACCACCACCACCACCACCAACAACAACAACAACAACAACAACAACATCAACACCAACAACAACATGATAAAAATAATCATAATCATTTTTGCCACAAGCACCACTACTAGTAATATAATAAACAACAATTAATAGATACATAATTAATCATCATCATTACCATTATATTCCACGTAATTATCACTATTATTATTTAACAAAACAAATCATAATAAATAGAGATATTATAACATAATTGTATTTCGTAAAATGTTAGACAAATGTTTACCTTCCATATGGCGATTCTACGATGAAACTTGCGTTGAAAAATCCTGCAAACAATGATAACAATTTATTGGTCATAGTGATTGTAAAACGTGCATTCACAAAATAAAAAATTTGCATCAAATTGTTGAATTTATTCATAATCCCTAAACCTGCTGGCCACAACATACCAGTACACTTCCAACAATTGCTCCAGTGCTGACCAATTTTGAGGTATGCAGTGTATCCTATTTCGACAGTACAAAGTCTGAGAATTTCCCTAAAATGATGAATGGTCATGGTCATGAATGGTCATGGTGGAAAAGTCCATTTCCAGATAAAGATTAATTAAGATATCATTTCAAGAAACGGTCTAGATATTTTGTATCACTATTGTTGCTGTGTAACCTTCAACATTAACGAATTGTATTACAAATACTCGTATATAGTGTTTTTTTAAATAATCTAGTATGCACTAGAGTTCGCGTGCAAATAAATCATAAAACAACTTACCAACAGATGTTCCCTTTGTTTTACATTTGAGCGTTCCATAGTCAGATTCTTCATTATCAAGAGCTAGACCATTACTAAAACAATCATTAATTATTTTGATATTTGTGAGCAATAAGTGAACAATTTACATGTATTAGTTTTTATTATTCCGTTTTAAGTTATAGCTATTAGCAGTTCAGCGCTATAGCGTACAGGGTATATTGATGATTTTACATGTCATCAGTTAGTTAATGTAATGTTTTGGTATCATTCAGAAATAGCCCAAAGTACAATATTCTTTGATGTACAAATGAAGTTTTCATAAAAATTCAAATATAAAGCTCTAATTTAATCACAAATGAGAGATGCACCCCCCCTAAAACAACAACAAAAACAACAACAAAACATTACAATACATACAATGTGTCGCCATCTTTCAGTCCACAATCCTGTGGGCCGGCATATACTCTGAAATAGAAAGAATATTAATTTGTACTGTATTTGTATATCTGGACGAGCTTCCGTAGTTGCAAAGGACCGAGATACCACTAAAATACTTAAATCAAATATTTTGTTTGCGTCTTAATTACGATAAATTCAGCTTACTATGTTTTGAACGCATCTAGGCTATCTGCGCGGAGCAAAAATAGTTCCAATATTTTGCCATAATATTCAGATAATCATAATACTTTATCTATTTTAAAATTGACTGGTCATTTTATTACTAAGTTTCAAATCCTTTTATCACAAAATTACATATATTATTGATTTACGCGATTGGAATATTACTACGCCAGCAGTCAATAAAAATTTAATTTCTTGATGTATTGGATGTGCTTTACTTGTGCGCTCTGAACGCTGGAATATTTCTAACGATCTGCACCTATATAGTCAATCTAAGATCGATCATCTTTCATATATAGACTGGTGACTAACCAAACAGTTAACACAAAGAAATTTTAATGTATATTCTGTCTGTTACATTTTCTCACATGTAAAAGTTAATTATCATCTTAATCCGATTTTCAGTACAATACGAAAGTGTGTCAGTTGACTGCAAAACATGCAATGATATTTAGGAAGTCTGTACATGAGGTATAATAAAAAAGTGCAACATCTATCACGCCCCCCCCCCAGCACCGGCTTGAGCGGTACTAATTTTCAACACTTAATGTGCTGCAACTAATGTTCCCAGAACGATCAGAAAATATAACAACACTGAAGGATGTTGTGTCTAAATATGAGACATTAATATTAGACATTTAATGAAAAATGTTTTCAGAATTTGTATGAATATCGTTTATAACAAACATTACACGATTTACTACATAAAAGGTCCGTAAACGTATTTCACTTTGATTGTTTCCCATGTAATAACCGAACAACACAGTCATATAAATGAAAATACTGAATAAAATTATACAGTTATGTGAATTTGTCTAAAATGGTATGTCTGTAATACCCTAAATATTTATGTTGATAGTGTTTAGTATCATACATAACAACAAACCATGATATAATTATATATGAATATGGTTGATAAGTATGAGATACATGATCCCATATAAGATATATTTATACATGAATAGCAGAAAATAAATCAGAAAATAAATTGTTCTAAAACAAAGTATTATTATTCAACATATCAATATTTTAAACTTAATCACCTAAAAATACATCAATTTTTTTCGTAGGACTATCTTGTATGAATATCCAAATTGTGCATTTCTATTGTTTTTATCTATATCTGAAATACTTATTGAAGATTTGCCCATTAAAAAACAATCCACTTTAAATCGAGTTTAATTTAGAATTATAATTTGTTTAGTTAATTAAATTAATTTGTTTAATTTGATATTGTTTAAGGAACATGATCTCCGGGTCAAATATTGATTACAATCGAGCATTTACCCTGTCCTAAAATTCGACCGATCTTTTACGCATGCGTCATTTATTATTAATTTTATGTCAGCGTGAAATTGGATTAAGTGTATAAGGAGATTTAAAACATATTATTTCAAATATTCGTCAATATTTTTATAATCTTATAAATGTGAAAGTTGATCTGGTTAAAAATCCAGATTGTTGATTTAACTTATTAATTATATATTGTACTTTTCATTGTACTATTATTATATGTACTGTCCAATACATAGGCCAAAATAATTAAAAGTATATTTACGCAACTTTTGTTTATCTGGTCATAAATGTTTAACGGATGTTTGTCTATAGAAATGACTTATGCTGGACACTGTTCGCTAACATTTTATTTAATGCCCCATAAGAAACGTTTTAAACTGTCTTATTTATATGAACGGCCAATATTTTCAATAAAATTATAGAGAACAAATAAAATAATTGATAAAAAACGAATATATATTTGATTGTTTTGAAAATTTGCAATGCAGCGGTCTTTTGAATTGATGTTGCTTAGTAGAAGAAGGTTTAACAGTGATATGATGAACTTTTCCAAGATAAAATTACTGAAATACTTAGATTGAAACAACAAAAGCAGAAAATGAAAGCTGTAGGCCGCTTTAAAATTGTAATTTAATCAAGCTTAGTTTATTTAAACAATATACACAATGTATATTCTTTTTAACCGCTGCAACCTTTCTTTGATAAGCACATCTGGTAAAAATAAAGAAAAAAAATAGGTCATTTGAAGAGAAACTAAAAATGGTACCTAACATAAAGAACCTTTTGTGGAATAAATCGGACACAATCTGTCTTTTCACCGTTGTTAGTTCGAATCCAGCCAGCGCATTTTAATGAAGTTATCATACTTGCTTATTGAACTTCGGTGGCTAATTGTGCACCATAAAAGTTAGACAATCACCAGATGACCTTAACCGCGTTGGTGTGATTTAAAACCAAACCAAAATAGATAATTTTTGGGTAAAGTAATATTGCCGCTTTCATTCAAGCTTTATTTTATTTCTCATTATAACTATTACACAAAACATACAATATTTACTGAGATAACGGTAATTTGACAATCATACCTAAGAAGTTTTTCGGATTTCAGATTAGTCGCCGCTGCCATATTACTTCCATATCTGTCACTGACAAGCTTTCCTCGCATTGATAGAAATAGTTCTGGAAAAAAAGATTATTGTAACATATTGCATCCGTATAGTCTGAGGTGTGTGCAAGTTCCAAATTATCAAGTGGGGTATGGCTTATTAGTCCAGGATGAGAACAATTAACAAATAATTAACTTCTGAAAGTCTGTAAGATTGATTCCAATTACATAACAGCAATCACGATTTGATACCCATATCTATACCAATTTTAATAGATCAGAACAGAATACACTACATGCTCTGTTCCATTCTTGATCATCAAGGTAGTATTCAGGGAAATGGATTACACTTATAAATTAGTAATATTATCTGTCTCTAAAAAATAAAACAAACACAAAAACCCTTAAAATTATAACAAATCTTGAAATATATAGAAGATTACGTGATAGTTCACCATAGCATCAGCATATTACATGCGCTGATTTTGACATTCATTAGCTCTTTGCAAAATTTATGATTTTTTTTCATTTTTTTAAAAAATTTCAGCCATTTTTTTTTAAATGAAACAATTTTAATGGCATTAATGGTGTTTTTAAAACAATTTTGAACACTGTTCTAAAATTGTCGCTTTGCCTCGTCTAAATAAAATCTATTAATAGAATGCCAAGATTGTCGCATTACCTTATTTATTTAGAATATCATGAAATGAATTATTAGAAAAAATACTTACCTGGTTTTCCAGATTGCGGTGTAAATGTTTCTATTGTCGGGGTGTATTTAGACTGTGGCTAAAACGAGAGAGAACATTTTTCCAGATTTTCAAGATATTCAAGATTTCAAGATTTAATAATTCACTCAATACACAATACATGTAAATATGAGGTAAATAACAAATTACATTAAGTTGACGAGGTAAATAGTATATAACTAGCATGCGTCATCTTGCAATATTCTTTCTACATAGAAAAAAAATCAACACAATATTTTACACTGTCAGTTAATTTCACAGTATGAATGCATTCATCAAATCTGTCTAATCATCTACTCTTGAAAGCTTTTCAATCATGTCAGAATAACGTTTTTGCTAAAACGAAAGTATCTGTACGGAGGAGATATAATTGAAATAGAAAATAAATTGCTAAGAAATTAATTTTTGTCCGTATTTAAATCTTGAGTAAAAATATTGATTTATACAATCAAAAAATGAAATGAAAATCTTGATATTTGCAAAAAAAAGTGCGTTACCTTGAAAGTACACTTGAAGCTGGTCGGATCACCGCCACACAGGTCACTGTCTGCAACAACATCACCGTCGACCTTGACCTTGACATAGTGATCCTCCTCCGTCATACCTCTGGAAATATAAAATATCATCTTTATGAAAATTATGTTATTATTACAATACTAATAGAATCCAAAACGGTTTTTATTATAATTATACATTTCTACAATCTTTACTACTTCATGTACCATTACTTTAATAGAAAAAGAATATATTAATCAAATTCTGATCATACCTCGGGGTATAGCACATAATCTGAGTCTCTGTACAGCCGTCTTTGTGTACTATGCACGAGAATTCCGTGCCAGATTCACCGACCAAGTACACCCTGTTACCCACATTTGGGTCGTCATTTTGACTGAACTGGTCCGCTGAAAATCCTGGTAATATAATTTGAGAAAATTGATATATATTTTCATCTGTTGTGCGAGGCTTTTTTTTTATATAGATTTAATTAGTTGAAATGGTAATTTAAACTTAAGAATAAAATAATGCTTAATATCAATGAATTTGCCCAGACTTTCTTTTATATAGTAAAGTTTTTTTTTTCAAGACAACACACTCAGTAATATATCAACTTTAATGTCTGGGTCAGAAAAATCTTACTTATCTAAATTTATCATATATCAGAATTGACTATGATTTCGAAATGAGTGTTAACCAGTAAAATGTACTCAAAATAAATTGGTACAAAAAATATCAAAAGTATAGAAAAAAAATGCCAAAAGTATAAAATAATCTTAAGAATTTAGAAAAAAATGTCAAAAGTATACAGAAAATGCCGTAAGTATAGAAAGAATGTCAAAGTAAAGAAGAATATCAAAAGTTCTATATCAGATAATACATACCTCCGCCATAGATTGTCAGCCTGGTCTCTCCAGCCAAACTCCCATACCTCGGTTCTATTTTACTTACATGTGCACCTGCAGTGTATACAACGGTAATATTTAAATATGCAATAATTTATTCAACCAATTTTTTATAAAGTAAATTTTTTATAAATTGTCATCAACTTTACCTTACAAGTAATCAACGGCTTGATGGAGACGTTTTTATTGTAAAATATAAGAAAAATAATTTTCTTTTATTATTTGCTTTAACCGAATCGATTCGTTATTGAACCAAGTTTGTCAAAGGATATTCAAAATTAAATAAGAATTTCTTAAAATGCGAAACAGGATAACTGACTATAGATCTATATTATTAACTATAATAATTGATATACATGTATATTGATAATTTTGAATGTGTACTGCAACAATAACTATAACTAGAGTCTAAGAAAATTTAAAACAGTTTTTTTTTCTCTACATTCGACAATTGTAGTTTTCCTTATTTGTCCCGGATAAATCGAGATTGTCTTGCAATTGATTCTAACAAGTTTTCATCTGATTTACGCGTTTCCGTATTCTAACACATAAATAAATTCAACATCCAACACCCAACGCTTAAGGATGAAATGAAACTAAAAGAGAATACGGGTAGATGTTATTTAATATCTAATACATTGTATTTTAATACTGAATTAAAATTCAAAGATTATTTAATTTTAAAATTTGCAACTTGAGCAAAATCAATAAAATGCCATGTTTGTTTTGATGTTTTTGTCGTTCCATAGATATTCATATCTTTTTTCAATCATTTTAATCAAAACAAATTTCATACCTTCAGTAAAAGAATAAGTTAGAATAGAGATCCAGACAAACAGTTTCGAAAGTTCCCTATACTTAGTCTTTACAAACGGTTTCATTGCCTACAAATCTGCATATAATTGCTGGTCTCAGTTTGGCCACAGTTTTATAAACTTACCTTTACGGTTGACGAAACAAATAAACAAATTTAGATAATCCTATTATCTTATGTTTAAGAAGTTCAAAGACTCCTGGGGGAAATATTTGGTACCTGATTCAGTCACGTTAAGACTGTATGACGAACGCTAAGTTTAATTATATATCTAAATACTAATCAATGTTTACCGTTGAGTTGACTGATTGTCACGTAGGAGTATGTTCGCCATACCAACTTCATCAAAAACCACATCATTCTATCGTGACTGTAAAATTATGATTACTTTTTGACTCTTTTTAATTTAAACACCCATGCTGAATTAAATAACATAAATCGACAAAAAATAATGCGTTAAAATAGTACGTTAAAGTTAAGGTGTAGTTATACTGAATAAAGTTTTCTAAATTGATCATCTAAATGACAATTGAAATTAATCTACACTGTGTTCTCGTCGTGTAAACTATTGTTTACAGGAAATAAAATAATCAAAGGAATACATAGTCCGTGGTATCTTAAGTTACAATCGACCTGTCAGATACCTCTGATATTTTGTACTGACCATATTAAGTAAATTTACCTTTTGGTATTACAGATTTTTAAAATCTATCATTGTGTTAAATCTCAACGCGGGGATCTTCGGTTCCATCGGGAACGAGCCTTTCTTAAGCATTTTGCTTATTTGGTAGAATGAATATTCTAGTTCACATTCTTCTTCATATCTATATTGCATTTGACGATTACAAAATTAGCACAAACACTATATGATTAACTGAATATGCGTGCTTATATGTGTAAACATGTTAATATGAGCACTTTTGCTTACAGGATAAATGATCAAGTATGTATGCACTTGCCAGGTGTATATAGAGTCAGGCTAGTGTATTGATTTCCCCATAGACTTACATTATGAGGAATTGTCACTGGTCTCACCTTAAAATTGAGTTTTCATGCTCATGCTAAAGATATAAATTTTCTAGAAAAATTGAATGCCTGAAACATAAAATGAGTTTGTTATGTAAGAGTAGCATACTTAACATTTTGCAAAATGCCCATAAAAGAAATTATCCCATTTTTTGAAATTTTCTGCTGATTATTGGTTTTTGCACATATTTTTCCTTTAAAGTAAATATCAAAGTGGCAAATTATCCTAAAGACTTTTTCGTTTTCTGAGAAGAACATCGTAGTTTTAGTTTCTAATAGAAATCATCGTATTTCATCCAATCACTTGATATCCCATTAAATCTTACGGTTTTTCTTGCACATTTTCAGCCAATCTGTAGCCATACAATAATCTGACCTAATTACTTATGAAGAATTGCTTGCAAGACACCTTATACTCATGGCTTAATTCTGGTTGGTTTCCTGCAAGGATTCGGGAATGTTTCAATAAGCTTATAGACATATAAACTTTGATTTGGCGATACCGTGAACGGTAGTTTGCACTAACCAGTACCGTCCATGAACAGGCTCGATTAAACCGAGCCTGCAACATTTTCAATTTTGCTGTGTTGGGCTTTCTTTAGGGATACTTATTTCTCTCTATTTTATAGTTTCCATTATAATCGGGCTAAAATATATGATGTGTAATCAATCTGTAGATACATGTTAAAAATATTCAGGAGGTTCAAAAGACTAAAAACATAAAATGGGAATTTCTTACATAGATAAGCTGTGAGTTGTAAAAGATACACAAACGATAATTAAGCAACGCTTTTAAACTTTGTATCATTTTCACAATAATTTACACCTAGACCTACATCAAATGGAACATTGATCTCAAAAAACGTTAACATCAGTGGAGTCCCTTTAAGGTCAATTGTGCAATTTATTTCTTCTGCCTGTTTGTTTATAATGCTTACATAAGTTCGTTTCACTGTTTACCAAAGACTGACCTATTGGCTTGATAGTATTGGCGTTTTCAATGTCAACGTTCATACACAAATATACATTTACGTCATATAACCTTTTTGATACTCCATTGACCGTTAATATAATCCGGTTATAGATTAAAATCACCGGGACTAGTACTTGATTATATAGCCATTCAATAAACACGGCTAATATCAGAAAAGATAACTAGTACTGTTGAATACTAGTATTTATTTTGCAATAATAATGTTTTAAGTACCGTGGACTTGATACTTTATTAATATTGATATCAAACTATTTAGATCATTATGATTGGTCAATGCACAGAGGGTAATTCTTTATAGATCCAACAATTTATTTTTAACATGTTCTTCTTTTAAATCTGCACTTATTCGCCGCACAACACTTTGTACATACACCCTGTACGTCAATGCCCCAGAGTGGGTTATGTACAGTATTGGAAGAAGAAGAAGAAGAATCACGTCAATATTTGCATAAATGAAATATAAATCAAGCAGATACAATATTGTAGATTAAACCATAAAAATCATGGAATAAGAAATACATACCCGTAAATATTGTTATTGTTTTGAAAAGAATTCAGGAAATTCCGTATTGCATTTCTCAAAAGAGGTGTATCTGTTCACTGATGTGTGTCATTTCATTTTGTGACGTTAGAACAGTAACAGGTTAAAGAATATTTAAATTTGACCGAGCAGATGATTTGGCGATTTGTAAGCAACAATTATGTATTCATTATATAATCAAAACACTTATTTCTGTCATAACTTTCTCAAAGCATTTTATCTTAAATAGGTGTACACATTTTGACTTTAAACCACTTGCCCCTCACGGCTGTGATTCGAAGTCCGCAATGTGAGGAAGCTATACAGCTACGTTATTACAGAACGTTGTGTTTCTTCTCAGGTAACCGTCCGTGTTAAAAATTTTTGAATTATTGCACGGAGGGTCACCTAAGGTCAACGTCGCCCAAAGGCTGCCAAATCTTCACATGACCTTTGCAGTGTTATTGCGACCGACTCCTATCCCTTAAGAAATGAATAAATGAAATAAAAGAAAAATAAATGAAAACAATATAATAGGTGTTGGCTATAACTTTTTTTCACCTCGATTACCTAGTATGGACTTCAAAGGGAAGAACTAAGTAACACTAGAATTTTATTTGTCAATTTAAAATTTCTCACTTGAATCTAATTGACCATTATAAAAAACTCAGACTTGTTGAACGTGTCAAATTATATAAAGGAGAGTTCAGACATTGTTTTAATGTGTATAAAACTATATATTTACTGCAAATATTATTGTTTAAATTTCGAAAATAATATCACATTTTTGTGTGTAAAAAGACAAGGTAGTAAATTGCCTTAAAAGCGAATGGCGCATACACGAAACCATTGATAATTCTACTTTAATTAAATAGCGAAATATTTTTACAGGAACATTTTATTTCGTTTACGCACAATATTCATAGGTGTTAAATAACAGAAACATTCTTTGTTACCAATCATTCGAGAATAGACGAAAAGATTATTGAAAAAATGTACATTTACAGGTGATTTTACTGTTAATATTTTTTAAATATGTTTTTGATATTTCAGACGAGATTGCTTTATACCATTCAACGCTTAACAGATAAGCGTAGGTCCTTGTGTATTTTACGTATGAAATGATTGAGGCTAAATATCTCGTAGGCCGAATGAGGTAAAGTATTCATAACCTGTCAAAGTAATTATAACGAATAACACACTATTTATACCCATTCAAAAGGATTCATAGAGGATGTTGAGTGTATGTTTAATACTGAATTTACTGAACGAGTTGAATAAAATTATTTTATGCGAGCCTCTGGCGAGCATAATATTATTGTATTCAACGAGCTCAATAAGTTAAGTATTAAACTTACACGAATTTAATATTTTATTTGTCACATACAAAAAATGAAGACCGTTTGAAGTAAGAAAGTACCATTTTCATTGACGCACCTATAATATAACGTTAACATTTAGCGCGTCTTGACGCTATGTCTTAACGAAAATGATGTCATGTCAAAATATATGCACGGCCGTGCAAGACCAATTATAAAATCGTAAAAGCGGCACGGGTATGTGATAAATTGTTGTCTTGATTTGTTTATATTTTATCGTCATTTTTCTTCAATTTTGATGAAGTATAAAACTCGTTAACATTAGAAATTGGTGTCTTGATTTGTTTATATAATCATTGATAAAATACACGCATTGCCAAATATTTTAGCTACAGTTTATACATAGTAGACAAACGATAAAATAGTGATGGATAAAGGATTGCCAACGGTCGCGCATCAAACATTTATCAGTCTCCTACCGGTTTACCGGAGGGGACTTTAGGTTTACCCTCCGTCCGTCTGTCCGTCTGTCTGTCCGTCCGTCAGTCCGTCCGTCCGTCCGTCCGTCAGTCCGTCCGTCCACAAAACTGGATCCCGCGATAACTCAAAAAGTACTGAAAATATTTTAATGAAACTTGATATATGGATAGATGGCAGTATGGAGATTATGCACGTCTTTTTCTTTTCTTCCTATGTTGAAAATTCTGGTTGCTATGGCAACAAATAGACTGAAAATATGACAAATTTTACACATAAACTGGATCCCGCGATAACGCAAAAAGGACTGAAAATATTTTTATGAAACTTGATATATGGATAGATGGCAGTATGGAGATTATGCACGTCTTTTTCTTTTCTTCCTATGTTGAAACTTCTGGTTGCTATGGCAACAAATAGACTGAAAATATGGCAAATTTTACACATAACCTGAATCCAGTGATAACACAAAAAGTACTGAAAATATGTTTATGAAACTTGACATATGGGTAGATGGCAGTATGGAAATTATTCACATCCTTTTCTTATCTTCCTATGTTGAAAATTCTGGTTGCTATGGCAACAAATAGACTGAATTTCAAGATTTCTGATTCTAGTTGTTAAGTTTTTTCACTATAAGTTCTTTATTTCTTAAGGTATTTTCTTCAAACTTTAAATATAAGTTCCTTGTCATCAACCACATCATATGTGACAAGGTTTACAACTCTAG